CTTTATTAAAAAAACAACAACAACAACAACAACAAAAAAGTGGTTGCAGAAAGCCTGATGACATCCAAATCAAGAGAGATAAGTATGCCTGGTGTAACACATGCAGCAGATGAACTCCAGTCTTTTAATTCACTATAAAAGCTTGAAATGTATTTTCAGATTGACTTTCAAATGATGAACCTGTTGTTTTGAAGGATCTCTAGCCTAAAATGAATATGATCTCTTAATTATATTGACTCTTATAAGATTATTCAGTTTTCAAGGAAATGTTTATGGGTTGTTTTGGGCTTTTTTTCTCTTCTTCCAGAAAAAGTACCTCAAACGTCTGCAGGAAATTAATGTCATTCTGGAATCCTCAGACTTCTTCAAGCGACATGAGGTGAGCAGTGACTGCAAAGCTCTGAAGGTGCATTGTTTCTTGGTTTGTCATTCCGGTGTACTTCAGAACAGCCTGCTGTATCAGTAGAAGGAGTTTTGTAGAAGAAAGCTAATACGTGTTTACAACACAGATGCCACAAAGCCTCCACCACACTGATACAGGAGATTAAGCTAGTTAAGGAATAGTAAATCCTCCCATCTTTATGACATCCCAGCATTTATAGCTCTGGACCACTGCATGGTGTAGTTGATTAGTACCAGTTTCATATGGTTTTTCTAACCTGGATGTGCTCCAGTGGAATTTACAGGGGAATGGCATCATGGAAGTTTGCATTTGGTACAGTAGCATTCAGTTATAGCTTGACAGTGAAGGCTGTATTACTTATAATGGATTTATGTTGAAATACCATTTAATTCTGATGTCTGTGTTCTCTGTGTGCTTTGCTGTGCAGAAGGCATCATTAGCATTGTATTTTCTGCTTGTTAACAGCTAAAGATTTTGAGATTAGATATTTTATTTTATCTTGTTGATGCTCCCTTATCACTAGAGATATTTTTGTTAATCATGGGTCATGATGTGTCATTGAAAGGAGTTATTGGCCTTTGCTGAATTGCTCAAATCAAGACCTGATGCCAAGATGAATAACTGCTTTTCTTCCTGTTTTCTGCTGAGTCCAATTTATTATCTACCCTCCCATTTGTACCTTACTGGGGCATCTAAATCATCAATTTATAAGTGCAGCCCAAAAGTTGTTTGGGTCACAGGTGAGATGAGGAGATCATCTTCTTAGCAGGAAGTGTTAATTGGTGGGGGAGGGCTGAAGATGTATTTTTAACTAGATTGTCTCAATCTGTCTTCCAGGTTGTAGGAAGTTCACTACTTTTTGTACATGATGGCAGTGGGAATGCCAATGTGTGGCTGATCGATTTTGGAAAGACCACCCTTCTTCCTGATGGGCAGACACTGGATCACAGGATCCCCTGGCAAGAAGGCAACAGGGAGGATGGGTACTTGTTGGGATTGGACAATTTGATTGGCATCTTGGAAAGCATCACTGAAAGATGAGTTGAGAAAGGCACAAAACTTGCAGGGCTTCTCTGTAACTTTCTGCTTTACTGAAGTAGAAGGAAACTCAGTTAGAAGGAAACCTTTAACTCCAAACTTCTGAGGTTTTCAGTGCAGAGGGAGCTGCATCCAGAACCCAGCAGTCAGTGATCAAAGTTACTTTGCATCAGCCCTCTATGAACCTAAAGGAATCATTCCAGATTGGTCTGTATTGCACCAGATGAAATTGAGACTGGTCCTCAGAGAATGAAGATCTCCATACTTGGGAATTACACCAGCATGAGTGAAGAGGTCTGTGTGGTAAGCCAGAAGGATTATGATTTCTGGCAAAATGGGACTATAAATTACTTCTTAGAGAACCAGGACAAATGCTTGGGAACTCAGGGCAGGAAAAATGATTTTTCAGGGAACTGCATAGTTTTGAAACCAGATTGTGTTTTTTCCTCTCTAATTCCAAGTCCTCTTGTGTACACTATGGGTTGGACCAGCAACTTCTGCTACATTATATTACAGAGTGAGCAAGGTGCAAATGGGTGTTAATCACAAGAAACTGGGAGCAAAGAGAGACAGCAGTTTATAGTGACTTGATGTGGCTAACTGCTGTTGACCATTTCTCCCCTTCCCTACCCTAACCTTGCCTCTGTCCAAGAAAGGCCTTGGCTTTTTCTGTCGCCGCTCAGGAGATTACAAACACTCTAGGTAGAGAACAGCAGCCTATTGTCTCCAAAAACATTCCAGCTGGGTGGGCTGTTAGGTATGTTGCTAAGTTGGAGAGTTAGGCCTCTTGCAGCTGAACTGCAGCTCTGAAAATCACTAATGATCTTTCACAAACTAGTCAGGGAACTAAGTTTTTTTTTCCCAAGGCTTGTTTATTTTTGAAGATAAAACCCGTATACACATGCACACGCTAGCAGTCAGCGACCAGTGTGATCTCTTATGATCATGATTTGACTGTCTCTAAATGCACGTGACTTCTTGGCCATGTCCCTCTTCTCAAATATGATGCTGCCACTTAGGCATATAAAGTGGCACAGCAATCAGGGAGATCGGGTTTCTGCATTCACAGCATTACACAATAATGAGATAATTCCCAGGCATCCTTCCTCCAAGGTATCAGCTCTTAACTCCATGCAGTTTGGGTGGAGGAATGTCAATATATTTCATTCTATAGTCCCTATCTGGAGTCACAGGGTGATCTGTTCTTCATTATTCTACTGTGACCCAAGCACAGCCACAGAAAATTCAGCTTCTGTGTTAAAATCAAGAAAGATTGAATTGTTTTCTTGCAATGGCTTCACATACCTTCTCTGGTGGTTGCCTCTAGTCTCTGGAACAATTTTTTACATGCTGGCGATATAAATACTATCATTAGTCACATGTTGACTCACATGCCAGGTTTTAACATGAATAATAGGGTGATGTAGTTTTCACAATGCAGGTAAGAGTTACATTACCAGTTGATGGTTAAAGCCCTTTCAACATCTAGAGGTAGTAATGCACATTGATCAGAAATTCCTGTCTTTTGTTGGTTTCCTGTGCTCAGGAAAGAGTCTGAGAACTTTGGATGAAGGTGACTACACTTTTGGGAAACTGCTGTTTCAATAATAGTTGAAATTGTAAGCAAAAAAAACCCAAAACAACCTATAGAGTCCAGACCTGGAATGAAATCTGCAATATTTGTAGTTAAAGTTGGACAAACCTCAATAATTTCTAAAAGGAGTTACTTTGTGTAACACACTAAAGTGTGTTGCATACTAAAAGATCAGTCAGATTCAATTACTTTTTCATAAACTTAAAACAGGGGTATTGAAAATTGAAGCTCAGTTGTGATGTAAAAGTTAGATGACATAGAGTAGGTATTCTGCAGGAAGTAATGATATGGGGAAATATTACATCTTAAACCAGAAGTTGTCTGAAACTGGTAATTATTTTTGCAGTTCACTGCAAATTCAGACAACTTCTGTGGCCTCCCAGAGTTTCTCTGTTTTATATTTATGGTAGTATGTTAATGAATTTTTCACTTAGAAGTTTCAGAGTGTTTACATTAGGTTTTTAGAAGTGACAGCACAGATGAAACCATTCTAGATGCCTCCTAACCTTTGAACTGCTGTGAGATGACAAATGAATCTGTAGTGAATTCCATACAGTTAAAAAAAATATTTCTCGTTTTCTGCAGCCAGCAGGTAAGCCATGCATAGCAGTGCCTAAGGAGAATAGCAATGCCTAAGGACAATAGCATATAAATAGGTCTGATAGGCAGGATTTCAATGACATTGCTTTTTTTATGAGACTGCAATTGCAAGCTGTCCTACCATAACTAAAAATAATTATTTAAGTTAGAAATAAGATAAAGACAGAAGTCAATTAGTGGTTTGCCTAAATAATCTTCTTCTGTTACCACATATGTGGATCTTCTGCACCAATGTAAACTATTTTCTGGAGAGGAGATCTAAACAGTAGAGGTTGGTGCTCAAATGTCTGTTGAGAGTTTAAGACAAACTTTTAGAATGGCTGTCCAGTTCTAAAGGAGAACTGAAACAAAGCGTTATCAATAGCTTCAAAGAAAACAACTCCTAGTAGCCCCTGGCTGGTTTTTCAGGACATGGTCCTGGGAGAAAACATGGAGAAGGTTTGTTCCACTGCAGTAGCTGGAAAGGTCAGGGAAAAAGGAAAATCTCTGCTATAGCAGACACTGATCTGGATACTCATTCTAGATGATGTAAGTTCTAGGATGTTAGTTTTGAAATGGATCTTTGTCTTGCTAGGGGGTTAGAAAGAAAGAAATCACAATCATCTGTTGCTGTTATGGGGAAGGAGAGAAGGAGGCAGCTTTTCATAGCAAACTGCAAGTGTAGGACTTCAGCTGAGCACTGGAGCTCTAAGGACCTGAGGCTGTGCGCTCAGGAACAAACTGAGGGTAAGTTTTAGATTGCTTGTTTCTCATCAGGTGGCCCAGAGCACCTGTCTATGAACACTCACTTGCTAGTGTGAGGAAGCAGCATGGCCTTCTTTCACTGCGGGATAAGTTGGGTTGAATAAGCTTATATTTAGCAGAGGGTTGGCATGGTGCACGTGCACAGGCATGTAACACAGGGGGAGCTGATGCTTGGTAACCAAGGAGTTTGTTCACATGCAAGTCCAGAATGTTTTTCATTAATGCATCTGCTGAGAGAAGGCCTCACTCTGGAGGCACTGACTATGTGTGGTTCCACAGCAGGGTCAGAGATGCTGTCCTAGAGCCACTTTGGTGCTGAACACATGACCTCTGACTTAGACTCCAGAGTCCTTAAACACACTAGGCAGATGCAGCAGTGCTGTAACTGCTGCATTCCTGTGTGAATCAAGAAGTAGGAGTAGGACTTCTCTCCCTCAGCTTCATCATTGACTTGGGTTTTTTTGGCCTTGGACAACTCTCCTAGGCATTGTTTTGTTCCAATTTTACAGATGGGAATAGACCTACTTACCTCGTGGCAATGGTGTGAGGCTCTCCTTCATTAGTGCCTGCAAGCTGCTGTGAGATTCTTTGGAGGAAGGTGCAATATAGAAAAAAATTCACAGAGATAGATCAGATAAGTTTAAAAGTTATGGATGTTGAGGCCCCACAGAGATATAAATTTGGCTGAAATTTAACCAAAGTGGTAAAACCTAAATTCCTCTAAATTTTGTACAGGGAGGTATTCACTTAACATCTGATCCAGTTCCTGTTAAAGGGAAAGATTTCAATGTATCTCAGAGGGCTTTTGCTACTTTTTTATTGCTGTTGTTATTATTTGTTATTCTTAAGGTACTGAGATCAAATGGCCTGTATCATCCACATGCATCTGTTCTGAACACTACAATGCAATGCTGACATTGACTGTATTGGATGAGTGTTTGTTACTCTGAAGTGTGTATGCTACTAAATAAATCAGACTGAAGGAAAAAAAGACATCTACTGTGATTTGGTCATGTGAGAATAATATCTTTTCTTCAGGGAAGGGAGAAAAACAGTATGTTTCACTGCTTTTAATCTTTACCATGTGGTACTTCCTAAAGCAAAACCAGAAGCCAAATGGTGGAGCTTGATTCCAAAGCCTATTGGTGTTACTTTTAGAACCTGATTCGCCCAAAGCTTGTCAGCTTCCTTCAAGGTAAGCTCTGTCTCAGAAATCTCAGTGAATAGTCTGCAGCCTATAAAAAAAAAGTGCACCAAGAGGCACTTGTCAGACTCAGAGCACTAAACTCTTCCCCTGGGCAATTTTGTGTGGACACAGGGAAAAAGCACTCAAGTCTCTAGGAGTGGCAGCACTTCTCAGCAAGAGAGAGTGTATTCTTACCATAGAAAGTGTGCAAAGAGTACTTATAAGAGAGGGAAACAAATATCCACCATTAGTGTCTCTTTATTTTGTGTTGCAAATATAGAAGTATACACTTGTGTAGCTTTAAATTGCATAGAAGCAGGTGTGTCATCTACTTATGTACAGTAGTCACCCAGAAAGGAAAGTTGGCAGAAGTGCAGCCTTGGTCAGAGGTGATGACAAATCAAAACCTGTTCACATGACTTTTCCATTTGTGTGCTGTGATGGGAAGATGTGAGGCATCACTAAGGTCTCTGCATGGGATTGAGAGGGGTGGACAGCCAGGAGGAGAGAGCACAGCCATGCCTACAGGAGAAACTGTCTCACACAGCTCAAGGGCCTAAGGAAGTCTGGTCCTTTTCTGACACTGCTGTGGAGATGCAAATACAGTGTGGGGAAAAGTATTCCCAGCAGCAGCAATTTCTTCTCTTTCAGGAAAGTAGGGAGTGTCTTGAAGGTGAAGTTACACTTGCAAAAGCCCATAACTATTTTAGCACCCTTGGAAAGCTTTCTTAGTGCACACCAGCCCATGGGCAAATTAACTGAGAACTTAGCTCAGGAAAAGGGTTGATATGAAGGGGGACATCTTAGATCTGTGCAATTAAAAATTCTGTTTGTTTAGGAGAGCAAGGATTACCAAGAAAGGAGAAGCAAGGATTACAAAGAAATGAGAAGCAGGACTATCAACAAATGTGAAAAAGCAGAGAAAGACAAATTGAAATTACCATTATTGTTTCATCGTCTGTTAATCAGTCCCTTCTTTAAAATGTAAGAATGAGGTTATGTGAAGCAACATAAAGTATTAATGCTAAACACAGTCAAAAACCAACTATATACATACAATTACAAAACCAATTTGGTAATGTTAAAAAACAGACACCTATCAGGAAGAGCAATTTATAACAAACCTATAAATGGCTGATTCTGCAGTAGGGAAGTAGTGGAAGATTTCACATGGGTTATAGACTGAATTAATCCCAGATCTCCAGCTCATGTCAGTCCTCTAGGAAACAGAATTGGGTTTTGGCTTCCAGTATCCTAATTAATCAAATTTTGGCACTATGGGTTTAACTCACTGGTGATGCCCTAAAAATGTCTCAATAAAAAGCAGTTTCACACAAGTTACATTTTGTAATGTTAGCAGTTGAGCACTGCTCTGAAATCTCTGATTGTACAAACAATAAGTTTCAGTCTCAGAACTGAAGGACTGAAGGTTGTAGGGTGAATCACTGCAATTGTTATTTTTTCTTTTGAGATAAAATGGTTTGTACAGCATGTAGCATTAAACTTCACAACAGGAAAAATATCAACAATATGTCCTCCAGGATGTTAATTAAAAATTCATTATCTGTGAGGGTTTTTAAATAGCATCTTAAAAAAAGATTGTTACAGGTCAAAGATTCATGACAATATGCTGACAGAAGATCATTCCATTTGGGAGAGTTAAGAGCATTGAGGGTACTAATGCAATTCTTTTAAAATTCCCAGCTCTTTCTTTTAGTGCCCATTTGGTACCTGCATCTCCATGTCTTGTCTTTTTAGAAAATACTGCATCTGGCTCAGTGCAGCCCTGAGCTAAATGCTGTTGTAAACCATCAGAGTCTGTTTTGGAAATAAATAATCCATATATGCTTACTCTACTCTTACAGTTGCTCTTCAACATCCCACTCTTGATCACTCTTAGGGATAAGATCCTGGTCAGGATAGAAGTCTGCTCAGTCTCAGTGCAGCTTTGTCTATGTGCTTCCTGTAAACGAGTACCTTGATGCAGCTATTCAGTAAAATCAGGTATTTGTCCAATGTGGTGGACTTGCACTTTATTTATAAAATGAAGGCATAGCTACAGCCAAGACTGTCCTGGCACTGCTAATAGAACTGTGCTTTCCTCTCACTTCGCTTTTCAATAGCTTCCCTGCTTTTGTCACTACTGGCCTTTCTAAATCTGTGAGTTATGTTGAGGCAAGGGCTTCACGGGGAAAACAGTGGTAGCTCAAAGCTGGGTAGCTATCTCGACAGTAGAGATCATGCCTGCTTCTCACTGGAATCTTGGGGTATTTTATAGTCATTTAAAAATATGAAGAACTGTCATCTCTCTGCTACTTCATTAAAAGTCTCAGGGAAGAGAAGGTAGTATAGTTAACTTCCCATGGCTTCTGAACCAGCCAGTATTTCACTCCAATTGCCACCAATTTCCAGCCCATGCTAATGGCTAAGGAGAATTGAAAGCAGAGTCATAAGGGGCCTGCAAAAGCATGTCCCTGACCACCAATGCTCTACTCAGGACAGACAAGGGCTGAAGAGTGAGCTGGCATCACCTCCACTGCAGCTGAACCATGATCACTGCACTCTGCTGTGGCCTTATATTCAGGGAGGAAGGGGCCAAGGTGCTGGCACCAAGTCACAACGACTGGAAAGTTTGATAGGTCATCTTTCCGGAGGCAAAAACCTACTAATGTATGAACCATAAAGGCAATACAATCTGAAAAGTAAGGACAAACTGATTGCATTTCAATAGTTAAAAGTAAATGCATTTATTTTTGGCTAGCATGGTGCAGAGGTGGCCAGTCTGAAATATGATCAAAAATGTTAGCCTTTGCAAGAGGAGAGAATGAGAAAGTTTCCTGCTAAATGGGCTCTTCTGCCTCATCTAACTGGGCTGTAGCAACTCCTGGATATAAGACAGGACAGGCAATGAACTAAACGTGAGAGAAGCTAGAGAGCTGAAGCAAGGTGAAATGGGAAGAAGGGCATGAGGCAAAGTCATTAATCTCCTTTGGTCACTAAACCCATCAGTCCCACACTTCTACTGAAATTTGCCCCACACAGAGGGACCCGTCTCTTCTGACCATCAATCGTTTTACAACACCATGGATTTAGAATTATTTCCACATTATATGGGTCTTTGCTGAAAGGTGACCATCATCACCATTTATGTCTGGAAATCATAGAAGGATTGCTGTGAAACGGGACCTCCAAAGATCATCTAGTCCAACCTCCCTGCTCAAGTAGGTTCTCCTACAGCAGGTTGCACAGGATCATGTCTGGGTGGGTTTTGAGTGTCTCCAGAGCAGGAGACTACACAGCCTCTCTGGGCTACCTCTGTCACCCTCAAAGTAAACACATTTTTTTCTCATACTCAGGAAGAATGTCCTATGTTTCAGTTTGTGCCTGTTGTCCCTTGTCCTGTTGCTGGGTATCACTGAAATGAGTCTGCTCTTAAGGTATCTGTATGCTCTGAATTGACATTGTATAAATCTGTCCATTCTAAAGTCAAAGGCCTAAAACTATACAAAGCGTGGAAGAGATAGAGAGTCAGACCAATGAAGCATAAACCTGTGCTGAAGATGCCTTTCAGTGAGGATGGATTCAGACTCTTCACCCTGTGATTTTCTTTACCACAGCTCAGAAGTGTCCACCCTGGCTGATGTAAAGGACAGGAGGTCTCTGGTCTAAGCAAGCCATCACCTGCTAGCCTGCACCTTCAGACTGACATGCAGCTGATCACTAAGCATAAAGCATATACCAGAGAACCTCTTGCCTCAGAACGGAACTGGAGAAGTCTACAACTGGCATCTCACTGCACAGCTTGATTACACACAAAGACAGCATGTAATTTGCCACTGTAGGTGTGGCGTTCAGGAGTGGTACAAGAACAGAATGCTTCCAAGACTGTTCAGACTTAATCCAAATTACTTGCCTTTTCAGTCTCCTTATTTTGCTTTTTTAATCCGTAAACATGAATTTAGGTCCTAAATAACTCAAGAAAGCCTTAGAAATGAGCTGTCTTGGAAACAAATGACAACCTTTATAAACAAGTCTGCACTTGCAAGGCAAGGAACAATTGCTACCTGCTCAGCTGTGTGAAGCCAAGTCATGGCTTTAGCTTTCTCAAATGGTTGAGATATTCTACTTTCCTGTAAAAAGAACACCCTAAGTGGGGTTTGCATTACATTTCCTTTCACTATTCTTCTCCTTTGCATTACTTTCTACCTTGGAGTATTAAAACCAAGAACTCCATCATACCAAATGCTAGATAGTTACCCAAGAACCTCATCTAAGTTCTTACCAACACAGCATAGAGATTTAATGCTGAATATCAAAGTACTTACAAAAATGAAGTTCATTTTAAGTAAAGTCCATTAAAAGATAAGTTCATTTCTCATCACACCATGCAGCTCACCCTTCTTTGAAAAACCACCTGCCCCTTCAACACCAGGAGCTGTGAGGAAAGCAACACCATGAGGCAAGCAGCACATTTCCTCCACTACTCAAAGGAATATTATGAGCTCCACCAGCTACTGCTTTTTTAATGGTAAATGTTTTCCTCTTCATTGCTTGTTTACAAAGCACATGCTCAGAGGAGCCTGATTTTTTTTTTTCATTCTTCCTACTGCTTCCAATTTGAGCAATACCTTCCACAAGGTCTACTAATAAAACAGATGCAAATGTGGCTGCTACTCTTTTTTACTTCTCTTATAGTGCATAAGCATTAGTAATTCACCAGGACTGTAAAAAGCTCTCAGGAATGTAGTAGCCTTTGCAAGTTGGTTGCTGCTGGCACAGCACATGTTTTTAGATTCTTGGTTCAGAAAGAAGCACAACCTGTGTTGGCCATTATTTCCAGCCAAGTACTTCAGCTGGCTGGTAGATCCATTTCTTTTCACCTGAGCAGATTGAAAAGGAGTTCTTTCCTTAGGAACCATATTCTGAATCAGACAAACAATGCCATTGTTCTCTACTTCTAAGCTGGTTCAGTGGAATGCATTTGAAGGACAGAGATAGAAATGCAAGTGCCTTTAGCAATGTGGGATCCAGCAGGTAGACAGAGGAAGCAGAACACAGCTGATGTTGAAACTTCACCCATCCGATCGAGCTAAAGTGGAGAAAGTTAGCGAAACAGGAAGCAGTCCTTCCAGACACACACATTCCCTGATCTTTGGAAGAACCATTTCTCCTATACTGGAGTAACACTCAGGTCATCTGACAAAGACAGACCAGAGTCTCTCTCTCTTGATGTTTTCTCTTTTTTACAAAAAGGCTTTTCATCTCTGTGAAGACTGGAGCTCCTTAGCACAGCTGCTCTGACATCTGCCAAGGCTGATGGCTGGTGCTCGGCGCTATAGCATAGGTCATCATAAGCATAATTTACATTGCCACAGGGGAAAGTCTGGAGTTTCACCAGTTCAATCCCACTGATATCCAGATGAGGGTAGTTACTTTGACTTGGAGATGCTGGAGATGCCCGAGAGCTAGGAGAACTGCAATTCCCATCAAAGCCTGAATCTTCCCGCTCTGGATTTGCTTTGAGCTTGGAGCTGGGGCTGAAGTGACAGATATTCTCTAGCACCCATGATCCATATGTTGGATTCCAAAGATTTTTTGTTTTGTTTTTAAGTCTGTGGGCGGATGGGTTGCTGGGCTCCAGCTTCTGGTTTGAGGTCTGCTGGAACCACGACCCACTGTTGAAATCACTGAGGCATGGCAGGCTGGGCCCTCGGGCAGTCCGGTTGCTCAGGTTCTCCACCAGTAGCTCTTGTGGACATTGTACAAGTTTGTGCCCAGCATGGTGGGATTCCAGTGTCTTAGGTGTTGTCTGAGGGGTGAGAGAAGGGCTTACCAGCAGTGGCACTATCCCACTGGAAATGTTTGGGCGCATGACCATACTCCCTTCGTCCTCTGGTGCAGGGCTACACTCCATGGGCAGCTCAGTGTTGATCACATCAGGGTCCTGAAAAAGAGAGACAAGAGTCTGTTACATCTTCAGGGTGACTGTCACAGGTCTGGGCAATACTCCTGCACATCAAACAAGGTGCTATGTTCCATCTGGACATCACATGCTGTTGAGACTTACATGTCTCCTTTGAGAGGAGACTGTGCTTCATTGAAATAAGTGACTAAGCTGTAGTATAAAATTTCTCTTTTGAGAGGTTGGATCCAGACCTGGAGCTGTTAAATGTTACTGGAGAGTGAGCTCACTGTGCCATTTCATTCCCCCTCTCCACTCCATAACTATTCAGCTGTGGCTTTTGAGCAATATTAGGCAAGGTCAGAATATGGACCTTGAGAGAGATCTAAATACCTTTCCATCATGAAATGAAGGACGTTTTGCAATTGAACAAGCTGAAAGCTAAAAGCATCCATTTGCAGAGTATGTGCTCATTATGGCTGGGTGGAAGATGGGAGAGTGAGGATGAACACTGGAAAAGAGCCAACAGCACCACCACATTACTCATCATCTTACTAGTAATGTAAGTATGTCAGTCTGCGAGGACCTTTCACTTGCCTTAGGGTCTAAAGGTAATGTATTTGAATAGTTGGAATTCAAAGGATTATCATCCATCTGGATACCAAAGACCAGTACCTGGGTGCAATACTTGATCCTTTCCAGGATGGTTGAGAAGTTTGGCCGATACTCTGGACTGTGCTGCCAGCATTGTGTCATGATCCGGTACCTTGAAGTTAAAAAGAAAAAAAATTAATCAAGATTATTCAGAATAAAGTGGTCAAGGTTCCAAGGGATCAGACTTGGTACATGGCTCAAAGGAGGAGTGCAAAAGTGGATCTATCATTTCTATATCCCTGGATCCTGCCTGACTGGGGAGCTGCTATTTAAAGCAAATCCTGTATTGCTCTAACCTGTGTACAAGAGGCAGTAGCTCAAGACATATTTAACAATACCCACCTAACACAGAGGGCAATCACTATTCCCTGAGTAGAGGCGTCTTTGTCCACATTTTTGACATGTACTACACCTTGGCTTGTGAGAGTAAGGAAATACTTACACTGGCCCCGGACAGTTTTTTGGTGGATCCATTCTTCCTCCACTGGTGACAAATTCCAGCACTTCCTGATTGGTTTTGCAAGGGTAGGGCATGTAGCCTAGAGAGAAGATCTCCCAAAGCAGCACTCCAAAAGACCTGTGTCAGAAACCAGCCAAAAATACCAGTCAGATTTCATCTGTGCTCCACAAAACCTAGCTTGTAGCTATGTAGGCAACACCACAGCAATGACCTTTCAAAGCTGCAATCCAATTACAGTAATATGCAATTAGTGTGATAATGAGTCAATGTTTACATAAGAAGACACCCCAATCAATCAAAACCTTTGCTCAAGCTCCAAAACAAGTTTTGCAGAGGTTTCAAATAAACTTCTGTGGTCTAACTAAAAAGAACTGTTAGATCTGGCATGGATATTTCTTGCCTTAGTTGGGAAAACTGGAGATTTTTGTGTGGAGGAATACATTTGGTGCTGGTAATTTGCCTGCAGGTTGAGCTCTGGGTGGCAGAAGCCCAAGGCAGGCGGCTGTGACCTGGCACCTACCCTATGCAAAACAAGAGGCGAGGACCTGTGGCATTGCCAGGTGACCGGACACTCAGAGACACAGCAGGAGCCAATGACTCCAGACTTTGGCACATTTAGAGTGTGAGTGAGGGTATAAAAGCCCAGGGCTTCCTTTCTTTGGGGGCCCTCCTCAGAGGAAGGAGCTCAAGTTGTTCTTTTGTTACTGCGTCTTGATTAAATTATATCAAGTATCCTGACCTCTGGGGCCCTGCTATGGGAAACCTGGGGCCAAGCTGGTAAGGAAACCTGGTCTGACTGTGAGTGTGGTGGGTGTAGCTGTGAAGGAGCCTCTACTCAGCTCAAGAGATGCAAATGTGACTTCTGGAATGGCTCCCAGATGGTCAGACAGGGACCTTCAAATGTTTCCTAAATCAGTGTTTCAGAACAAGATGCTCAAGTATAAAATCAAGGGAGAGACATCCAGTGAAACTGAAAGGCAGCAGCATTTCTGATATGGCTGTGCTTTTCTTACATCCACAGGTCAGACAGCCAGTGTCACTAGGAATTATGTATGACTTAGACTCATTGAAGTCAAGAGAGTTCTGCCAGGACTTCAGCAAGGTCAGAATTTTCAGTCACTTTTTGCTACAAAGGTCAAATTTCCAGTATATGCATGTTACTTATAATAGCCTATTACAGGAACTGTAGCACTTTCCTTCAAAATATTTAGTGCTGGCTGCTCACAACTAGGCGCTGATAAGCAATCCTTGTCTTCCGGCATCGCTAACAACTTCAGGAAACTGGGTCAGTGTGGCATCTGAGGGAATGCCTCAGTACAGCATATTGAAGGATCTGCTGTACAGAGAAAGAAGTGTTCTTAAGCAACTGGAAAGCTTCCATACCCCAGCACCTGTGCATGAATGTGCTACTGTTAAGGGGGTGCTTATTTTAAAGAAAGATCAAGTCGCATGAGAAATCAGTATATAAATATTGTTTCCTCAGCAACCAGCAAGGACTTCTGATTAAACCCGCTGTCATTTTATAGGCAACAAGAAAAAATATACAAAAAAAGTAATCCTGGGTGGTACAGAGAGAGTAATTTACAAGAGATATAAGCAGACCCTGTCACTGATGGAAACTGGAAGTTTCTGAAGCTGAAGGAAGCATTTGATGATATTTGTCTGGATTTTTATCTGAGACTTCCTGAGAATCTAATCTGCTTTTTCCTTTTACTTCTTGATTGGCTTTTTGTAATATCCTACTTTTATGAACAGCAAATTTTTATGACCTCTATTTACATTCAACATTTAAATTCTTATTCTGGATTCTTTAGCCATACTTCGACTGAATGCAATAGGAAGACTTCTCATATTTTTCTGGGAAATTCTGACTTTAGGGTTACTGCTAAGCACACTTTTCTTTGAGCAGTACATTTCTTGATGCTTTTCAGTGAGTAGCAGAAGTGATTAAAGGACATTTACTACCAGGTATCAGTCTTGGAGGTGAAAATGCCCTCTAGAAAAGCTTCTGGTGGCATCCACTTGACAGGAAGCATGGCTCTTCCTCCCTTGCGGTAGTAACTTGCTCTGGGAAAGATGAAACACACAGAGAATGTCACACAGCCTGAACGGGCTTCGATACAGAAAAGATCTTATCTCCACAGTAACAGCAGCTGGGGATTGCAAGTAACAGTGGGGGCCAAGTGAGAAAAAGAAAAAGTCATCAACACAACAGTGCATTGAAGCAGGATTTTATATCCTCTTTGCAACTGAGATGGAAAGAGAGGATGTTCTTGTGCACAGCTGAAGGCATCAAACTTGCCAATGCTTTGCACAGGGTGTTGGTGCAGCAAGTCTTCTTGACATCATGAACTGGTAAGTATGGTTGCTGGGGGTTTTTAATTTTAATTTAAGATTGTTGATGATCAAATGCCTAATAAATTTGCCTATGCTTGGTTTAGTGTCCACAAGTGTTTGTAGTTTCCTGGGACCACAGTTGAAGTGGATTGGCTCATAAGTGTAGATCAGTTAATTTACAGTCTGTTAACACATGTTAGTTAGCTGCTCATCAAATTCAGACCTCTAATGGATGAATCCACTGCTTCACATATCATGAAACAATTCAAACCTGTCAAAATTATACAGATTACTGAGTTACTCACAGAACTGAAATTGCCCTTCACTTACCTGTAAATATCCCTGGCCATTCCAAAGTCACCAATTTTGGCTATTCGTCCTGCTCCAGTACAGGTCAAAAGGCAATTCCTTGCAGCTATATCTCTTAAAAAAAATTAAAAATAATTATAATTCTAAATTCTTAAGTAGTTCAAGGAATAAAAAAAGTATTAGACCCAGTCCTGCAAATCTTACTTGAGTAATCTTTAAACAAATGTGAAGAGCCCTGTTAAAATATGAAAGAATTCCAGTTACATTATCGTTTCTGTTAACCACAATTCTTAAACTGTATTTGAATTATATCTTCTACCCAGCATCTGCCAAGCTTTCCCCATTCACACCTCTTTCACTAAGGCAGAAAACAGCATCTGTATCAGAAGAGGAACAGACCTAACCTCTTTTGCTTCAACCACATTATGACAGATTTCTTTCTTGCTCTATTTTTTTTAAAGAGTGACATCTCAGCAGCGTCCTTATCAGTTAAAGATGCGATGCTATTAGACAGTCTTAGCAAACTGCTTGAAAAGTTATGTAGAACCAGATTTGGTAATCTGTTGCTTTGTTACTTCTGGATATCTCCCAGGTAATCAGACAAAGCTCCACGTGGAAGCAGCTGTTAGCTGGGTGCAAGTTTAGCTTGCGAGAAATGGAAGTGATGCCTTCATGGCCAAGGCTAAAATATTTCTGTTAATTTTAAATATGCATTCTGAAAAGAAGGTCATTAGAATCATAGCACTGTTGGGGTCCTGTTAACTGCCAAGAAAAATAAGCTCCTTGAAAACTCATATGTTTATTTCCATTGCCAACCTTGAAAAATCTCTGAGGGTTTGGAAGTCAGGTTCAACTTTCTCTTCTGTTATCATCTGTGACTCCTAGATGACAATTCCTGCCCTGTAGAAGCCTCTCTACAACCCCACTGCACTACCCCTGGGATTCCTAATATCTGTAATGAAAGCCTTCTTCATTTCCCAACCCACTCTAAGCAATGCTGACATCACTAACAAATACTAATACAAAACCTGAGGGAAATTCCTCGTGTTCAGATTTATGGGATTGTTGGCTAAGACAAAATGAAGCCATTCCCAGGTTGCTTATATTAGAGATCTAACAGTGCAAAGATTGACTCAGAGGTTTGTTTTTTTAAAGTCACACACTGCTGCTATTATTACAGTAAGGATTCTAAAATAGAATACTGTAGTGATTAACTCAGAGGTTTACAATTAGAATACTGATCCAAGAGATCTAAGAGCCACAACCTTTTGCACATTCTTACTGCTCTTTTTTAACAACAGAAATCTCTAACCCTTTTCCACAAGAACTTCCTTATTGTTGCAATTTAAACAGTAGAAATCTGTTTCAGATGTTCTAATCATAAAGCCATATAACATATTTTCATATCTCAACCTCCTGGCTTTTTGCTCCAATGGCTGCTTGCCTTTTTTTCCCTTTATTTCTCCAGCCCCTGCCCAGTGTTTCCTAGCTCTGTGCTGTGCAGCCCCACATGTGCTGCACATGTGGGTGAGCCCAATTACCTGCCTGCACATCTCCAGGCTGCACCCTGGTTTGGTTAGAGCCTCTGTGACCCTCTGGTGTGCAAGGGCTCTCCTCTCCTTTACACACAAGCACTGAACACAGCATGCAATTCACAATAAGGAAGCCAGTTGCCCACTATGCCTAGGAACATTATGAGCTGAAATAATTCTAAATAAAAAATGAAGGATTTCAATAACCAACCAGAATTTTTAAAAGGGTAACTATAACATTTATCCCTTCTATAATAATTTTGTCTTATTTGAAGCATGCTATATCAACATTTTTTGCCCAACAAATGAGGAAAAAGGAATTTGAAGAAACAAATATGGGCTTACTAAAATCATGCAAGCAGGTCAGACACTGAGCTGGGAAGAAAGCCTGAGATGTGTTTTTATCTCCTGTCACCCTTGCTCTACCCTTCTCTAGCCTTTGCCTCAAATATTATGGACTGACCTGTGCTGGTGGGATAGGGAAAGCATTTAAGTCAAGAAAGGGAGATGATAAGGGGAAGAAATACCTTCTTGTATTCTCAGCCAACACTGAGTGACACTACCATCTAGTGGACTACAGGGCTAATTTCAGCTGTCTCTACGTTGCAGACACTCAAAAACTAGTACTTAAGCCCTCTCACTTGGAACAGACCACTGCCCTCCCTTCAGGACTGCAAAGAGCAGTGCAGAGCCTAACTCCTAAAAAAAACCCAGGGAGATCCACTTGGTCATCTAAGCACAAGCCTGCAGTGGTAGAGGAAATAATTTGTCTCCCCTGTGGAGATTAGTCCTGTCTAGTCCACTGCCAATAGAAAATGTATGAGCCTGATGCACCTTGAGACAGATCAGAAGAGACTGTTTCTCCTCACCTGTGGATGAAATGATTCTCTTCCAGGTATTTACAGCCACAGGCAATATCCCTGGCTATATTCAGCAGGTCCTGCATTGTAAGTGTGGATGGCTGATTCTGGAAAAGGACACAAAATGGTAAGGGAAGGAGAGTGAAGCAGAAGAATGTCATTCAGGCAGGGTAAAATCAGAGAAGGACAGAAGAAGGGAAAGGGAGAGATATACATACAGGATGGGGAAGGGTTAAATGAGCCAGGAGCAAAGAGGAACATAAAGTAGGTCAAAGCAAAGAATTAGAAAATGAGTAAAATGAGTTAAATCCCAAAAACTTTCCGGAGATTTCGCCTCTCTTGAGCACCGTACATGAGTGCAATCTGGCAAGAGACTTACGGCCTGGTGTGAATAGCCAGTTAAAGGGGGTGGGAGAGAACTACTCCCTGCTGTGTTGTGTGAAGTCAAAAGACAAGCAGGTTTAAAAGGTGAGACAGAAGAGAATATAAAAGCACCCACTTTTAAAGAGTGAGTCAATAAATTATCAACAGAAATTAGTGCATGAACAAGAGAGAGTGAGTAAAAATGCACAAGTGCACATCTTTACACCAACATCAGCATTCATCAGGTTATCTGTACCTGGTAGAAGAACAGTGATTACCCTCAGGAGCAGTATGCAAAAAAGGAATGCTTTACTACAGGACTCCAGGACTGGTACTAACCCTTCACTATCTGCACTTCCCTAAGAACAATAAAGAAAACTTTTTCCAGGAGCCCTGCTTATTTTCATCCCCTTTACATCATTCTCCATAGGGAAATTTTTGTCAGTTTTTCTTTAGGAACTTCTTTATTGCTCTCAGGAAGGGTGAAGATAAATTACTACACTGCTAATCAAAGTCTGAGATATATCAAATAAATTAGGCTCAGCTCTTCAACTGGTATAAATTTGTACTTCTCCATATGGTGCCGACGCACACCTGCTGAGGACTTAGTGCTGTGAATTCTGATTATAACTTCAGCTCCTCACTTGCCATCACAGTACATGGAAAACAAAACAGGTATTGAAAAAAAAGAAGACCAATTATTTATAGTCTAATTGTCACTGAAGTCTACAATGGCAGGACAGGATTTTACCTCCTCAATTATTGGAGTTTCTTGCCCTGCTTGGTTTTTGTCTCACTGACACCTGCTTGCATCAAGCAAACCAACACAAGTATCCAGAAGCTTGTGGGAGCTGGGACACATACAGCCTAGCTTGGCTTCAGTGCCTTTATCCAGTTGATTAAAATGTGAAAGCAGTCATACTAAAATCAACCACAGCCTCACATGGAAGCTCTCTCACCATCCTGGGTCGGTTCTGCCGAAGGAAGCTCTTCATGTCTCCTCCAGCCATGAGCTCCAGCAGAATGAAGCGAGGCAGTGTCTGTAGGCTGACACCGATGCACTGCACAATATTTTGGTGATTGAACTTACTGAAAGCCAAGGTCACAGCACATGGAAGAGAAACACAGCATTAGTACCTGGCCAACATCCATCCATTCTCATTCTGACTTGATATTTGACAATCTGGACTGAAGCAAATCCTTATGCGGTTACAAAAAAATCTTCAGCCATATCAAAATGCTTCTCTGGTTATGACAGCCCAAGAACAGAGTTATGCCTGGCTTTGCCCATGAAAAGTCTTCTGCTGAAGGTATGAAAAGCTAAAAGCAAAGCAGAGTCTTCTGTCTGTGAAGACAGAATTTAATGGACACACTGAAAGATGAGAGTGACATGAGAGGAATAAGAAAGTTAAACATGCTAATTTCATTGGCATTTGTGATACAAAGTCCTGGCTAGTAGGAATTTGAATTCAGTGTTGGTAATTTTAGACATAGTGCTGTCTAGTTTGGGACTAGGGACTCAGTGTTTAGTCTGCCAGAGGGACTCAGCTAATACCTACTGCAGCAGCTGCTTTTGTGATTCTGCTTTTTATAAAAGGAAGCTGAGCTTGTCACAAGGCACAGTAAGACTCAGTCATTAGACAGCAGCATCTTCCCTTAGATAATGATTACCTGGATAATAAAGGGACTAAAAATAGAAAGGAAGTTGGGGAAGAGAAAGAGTCGTGCTACTAAGTGAATCAAGGCACTCCTTAATTGATTAAAATTGCTCTTTAAAAAAACATACATCAGTGTTACCTCCTGTTCACATTTCTTTCAGACTGTGGGGAGTGGCACTATGTCATGAGATTCATGCTTTAATAGCAGAAAACCAGCATCTAAGTATAAGCTGGGCCAGACAATGAAAAGAGGAACTTCGCATTGCACAAATTCAAAATATATAAATTCCAAGTACTTAAAATTAACCATGACTATGCTACTATTTTAAAGTCATCCATGATCCTATTACTGTTTTCAGATTATGGATTTCTGTTAATGAAGTAAATTCTAAGGCTGGAACACCTAAAGTACAGGTGATAAGAGGAATGGCTGTCTGTTATATTTTCCAAGAAGATTTTATAGATCTTATAATTCACTGTCAGAGGGTCATGCACATAGGACCTTATAAAGGTTCTGTCAAGCTTGCAAAGACATAAAATCAAATGCAGAACATGTTTGTACAAAAATGTTGCACTTTCTTACTCCTTTGAACGGGATCAGCAGAACCAGTCAACCAAAGTTTTTGTTAAATTGTAATGATTTTTGGGTGGGATAGAGTTAATTTTCCTCACAGTAGCTCATATGGTGCTACATTTTCTATTTGTGATCAAAACAGTGCTGATAACAGATTGATATTTTAGCTGCTGCTGAGCAGTGCTTATACAGCATTTAGGTTTTTCCCACACACACAACTCCCCCACGGCGAGAAGGCTGTGAGGACAAGAGGTTGTGAGAGGACACAGCCAGGACAGCTGGCTCCAGCTGACCTGAGGGACATCCCATACTGTATGGTGTCATGCTCAGCTATAAAAGCTGAGGCAAGGAGGAGGAGGAGGAGGGGAAAGGGTCAATCAGAGTTTGGCATTTGTCTTCCCAAGTAGCTGCTGTGCATGATGGAGGCCTGCTTTCCTGGGATGGCTGAACGCATGCCTGCTCACGGGAAATAGGGAAGGAGTTCTTCAGTGCTGCTTGGCTTGCTCACACAGATTTTGCTTTACCTATTAAACTGTTTTTATCTCATCCATGAGCTTTCTTGTCCTTCTGATTCTCTTCTCCCTCCCTCTGCTGTGTGCAGCCAAGTTGCCTACTGGCATTAAAGCACCAGAAACAGGCAACAAAAGAACCTCAGTTATCTTGTCTGAGATAAACAAGTAGTACCTTATATGCTACTAAAATGTCATCTGAAAAATAAGACTGAATTTATTTTCTGAACACAGGCAAGGGAATAAAGGATTCTATGATTACCTACATTACTCTTTTTTCCCCCTGCCCACTATCAGTAAAAAAGCCCCTTAAACTATACCTGATAATCAATGCTTCCATCAGGAAATCCATCTCATCCTGCTCAGAGCAGACTTCTGGCAGGGTCTGTTGAGGCAGTGAGGGCCATCCCACCAAAGAATTGAGAACATTTTTGTGACCACCAGAGATAAAAGGAAAAAAAAAAAGAAAATAAAAGAATGAGCATGTAACATATAGATCACCTCAGGCACCTAAGAGCAGGGACTCATCCTTTCAGTGCTGAGTTTATTGCACTGCATGTGACCCATTTGCTAGTTCAAGTCAGGATAGGAAACAGTGACCTACTTGAAAATTTTGTGTGTGTGTGTGAATTGAACTCTATGCACAATTCTGGAGCAAAAATATCCTCAGGTAGATCAAGAAAAATATCAGATGGGGACATACAGACCTAGGAAGGTTTTTTAAATGACAGCTGTTATTTATTCTCCCTTTTTTTTGTGTCCACATTGCAGCACATGCTTGCATGCCATATGACACACACAGCCACTTGATTTAAATACTTGTGTCACATGCCCCTGTAGCTTTCTTGCCAGCAGATTTGGACATCTTCTGCTGATACAGATGAACTGGATTACCACAAATGAATGACAGGCTGATCTCCTTCTGCTTACCACTGTGCTCTGGTGCTTCTTCCAGTCTGAATAGTGAAACTGGGTTGGGCAGTGTCAACTGCTTATTAGTGTCCTGGGTTTTCACCCACATTTGTACAGTGACACAGGGAAGTTCATGACATGAAAGCCAGGATGAATAATAGTAGAACTTTTTTTAATTAATGAAGGCTATGTACTTGAGCTGAACTCATAGAAGTAGATTTGTTTCTCTGAGTCACAGGCTTATAAAATAACAGAACCAGAATATGAGCATCGTTAACTTCAGGGCTGAGTAATTGACAAATCCTGATGCAACAGGAGTCATTTCAGAGAAAACCAGCCTATTGTCTCTTGCCATTAATGGCAGAGAAATTATTGTGAAATTGCAATATGTATTCACAGCAGCATCCTTAACACTGTGCAATATCAAAATCCTACCTGAAAATTTCACATACAGTAGAAAAGCACTACTCTCAATATAAAGGGAAGTAATTGAGAAACAACACAGATTTTTAAATACATCATGTGGAAAAACCTGTGAGAAAGCACTCATCAGAGCTGATAATGTCTGGATGCAGCAATGTGTCCAAGCCGGCATCACACATATGCATATGTCATTATACATGTGATACACATGCATTTCCAGCTGGATATAACATGAAGGATGGGATAACATGGCTCTTATGGGTAATTATTGCTGTAGAAGAAATTTGTGGGTACTGACCTTGATAGCCACTTGTAGAGGGTTGGGGTCCCCTGCAATGCCTACCACAGTTCCCTCATAAACCTCACCAAATGCACCATGTCCTAGTGCCCTGCAAGAAAAGAAGAGGGGTAACAGATGTTATATGTCCTTGGATCCAAGAGCTGGCCAAGCTCTTCTTTTCATCCAGACCAATACAACTCAAAACTTCTGAAAATAGCTTATCAGTATTTTCTGTCACTATCACTAAAAAAGGGAGGTTGGAACCTTGATGGTTCTGAACAAAAAATAGGTCTGCTCACTTTTAGGATCTATCACCAACTGTGGCAAAAGAAAGACAAGAAAAATGGAGAGCAATGGAATAAGGTGGCTGCAGACTGATGTCTTCAGGAGATTGTACAAGACATAAGAATGATCAAATTGTTCCTTCTAAAGCTTATATAACTTTGATCAGTATCATCTGGATGATGAAGAGCAACTTAGCATGTATCTCTTTGTGACAGGAAATTTCCTTGTGATCGGAAATGCTGAAATAGACATACTGCTATAGATTTGAAAGGGAGCTGCTGCCAGGAGGCAAGTGCAATAAAACCACAATCACAGTAGAGGTGAAATACCTGTGTGTGGGAACGTGGAACAGGAGACTCACAATCTTACACTTCTGCTTGAGAACTTCATGGAATCAAATTATCTTAAAGAACATAGCTAGTATCACATCTTTTGCATTTTGGCTGACTTGGACTGGGTGCTTTGCAGTCAGCAAGAGAGGTGGGCCTTGTTTTCTCACCGAAGCAGAGAGATGTTCTTCCGTGGGATCTCCTTCAGCTCACTCAGGGTGGCAGCTTTCCCTGCAAAGCAGTAGTTGGGGTTGTAATCGGTCATGATGACAGATGTGCGGATTTTGCTCAGTTTATACTCTGGGCTCTGCAGTCGTGCTCTGGATCCCTCCAGCTGTTGCTTCTTCAGGTGATAAACTGCAGGTGGAGAGATGGATAAAAATGCATAAACAAGATCTACAAATGGACAGAAGAGATAATGCTGGCCACACTGAACAGAATGACACCAATCCCAGAATTATAAATGGTCCAGAAACGTCTCTGGCTTGCTGTATCATGCTCTTCTTCACAGTCTTCAGTGATTTAGTAATGGATATGTAAAAAGTGTTATTCAAGCAAACACCTAACCACCTGGGAACAACTTAGGTTTCCTATGCTGCTGTGTGCATTGGCTGAGGAAGAGTGCTCCACAAGACATCTTGCTGACATCAAATCCAAAAAAACAAACCATCTCCTTGAATGAATTATATATTTAATTACAGATTGTGATTTCATCTAGTATTGCAGTGGCTGCTACAGAAACACCTGCTAAGAAGGCCTCCCTAGCTCTATTGCTCTGTGGCAATTAGTGGGGAAGAGCAGTTCTTGCCCTTTGGGACTGTGCTTGTGCCTAACTGCGGGTGGTGATGTTTCCTATCACTTCTTTTTCCCTGTTCCTCCAATCCCCTTGGGAGACCACAACACTTTGGCTCCAAGTACTGAAAGCAGTGGCACGTGGCCAGGTGGTCTCCTTTTGTCGAATTTAGCTGGGAAAAGCCAGGTCAAAGGGTGATAAGAAGTAAGTGTATCTTACTGATGGACAGGCTGCCACAGGTGAGGATCATTCCAAGCACCACAATCACAGACACCACAGCTAAGAGGAGGGGGAGAGACAGCTGTCCTTCTGGTATAGGACCCTGGGGCACTGGAAGAATGAAAACAGTACAGAGATCATGGTCAGAGCATTTTATAAAAATTACAGCAAATCCCTCTATAATCCTGAAGGTTGAAAAAGTACTTAAATAATTTTTAAATCATTGTGAAGATAGAACACAAATTGATAAACCACATATTTCTTATCCATTCTTCAGTTTTCTATAAATGGGTAGCATCACTACTCATAAGTGGAAAATGTCTACAGTCTTGATTTTTTGGAGCTCCAAGAGACTGTGAAAGGAAATAACTGTGAGTACAAGGCATCAGCTGACAGGCACAGTGGGAAACTGCTGTGGAAGGAAGCAATTTGTGTCTTAAATAACTCAGCAGTAGGTGGTAGGTTATCCTGGAGAGGTATTTATGCTTAAATATCTGATAGACTGAGCCCATTCAGGAAATTCACACCATGTCTTTTTACAGATATTTTACCTCCTGCCTAATCCAAATGTGAATGTCGGAGATGGTGGCAGAGATGCAGCTCAGCATGTAAGTGAAGGTCAGCAGAAATTTTCAGTCCTATGTTTGACTGACATTTCTCACACCACCTTGTCCACTGGATCCACTAGCTCTAACTCAGGAACTGAACATCAAAAAAGCCAGAAGGAGATATGATATAAAGAATAGAGATATTATCCAGTGAGGCTAAAACTTCTTAACTTACCGGTGCAGGTGACATTGTCGTTGGCCAGCACAGCCCCCATCTCACACTGGCACACTGGCAAGTTGGTGTCAGGGTCCCTCTTGCAGTTGTCTGAGTGGCAGTGGCTGCAGTTAAGATAGATCTGAACCTCCACCTCACCATGACTCTCCATGGCTGAACAAGGAATCAGACACAACAGGTGGGCTTAGTTCAGTTTTTCCTATCTTGTTCCAGTAAGGCAAAAAAGGCAACAGAACAAAACCCAGCAGGTACCTACAACTTCTCTCCTTCTCTGCAGGAGAGCAGATAGTCCAACACAGTGTGGACATGTCAGAAGCCTGATGGGGATCAGTAGGGAAGAAGATATTTGGTCCCTTGAGCAAACAGAGAGGCTTTGAAGTGAATTGACCTGAAAAAGTTGGGGACTGAGGATGTGTGGTTGAATCTGGTGTCTCTCCTGGCTTAGAGATTGACAGAAAAAAGGTCCCAGAGCACTATGAAAATACTTAAAGAAATGACCACAGCTAAAGATCTGACCTGCAGCATGAAATAAACTTTAATGAAATGAACAGAAAAACAAAGACAGGAGAAGAAGGAGGAGGAAAGAGGAAATAGAGAGGAAGAAGGAAAAAGGAGGAAGAAAAGAAATGAGAGTAAGAACCATATTGTACCTGCCAAGGGATGCAAGAAGATCTCTCCTATGGGGTTCACAAAAGAGATGCCATCCTGCCCACCAGCTGTGATATCATCACTATCAGAGGCATGTCCACCTGGGGAGAGAAGAGTATGGCTAGCTGATCAGTGCTGCATGCTGCAAAAAATATAATGTCTCTGAAAGGTTGCATTCATTCCCATTATCACCTGGGGTCACTCTGCAACCTTCCTGTGATATTGGATGGTATACTGTCAAACCCTCACTTGACCCAGCCAGTATCAGTGTTAGTGAAGTGATTTAATCTAATGCAGGTTTCTCAGTTCAGCAAGGTAAAAATGTTTTGTTTTGAACAGAAAAAAGAAATGGAATATTTTCCATGGGTAACTTGGAAATGGGTGAAAGGGTGATTCATCACACCTTCCAAATATTAAATCACATAGGAACACTTTTATCCTTGATTTCTCCAGTTATGGAGAGATGGTGGAGAGAGGGTGGGTTTCATACTGTTCAACTTGAAGTATCTGTGCCTCATCTCCTGCAGTCATGCACCTCTGCACTAAGAGACCTGCAGGAGCTCTGAAGGACACAAAAATAATCACCATGACTATTGCCCCAGCAGGCTTACCTCTGTACCCTCCGCCTCCTCCCCCAGAAGTACAAGCTCCTCCTCCTCCACCAAAACCACCAGAGGTGGTCCACTGGAGCTTGGCTAGTGCTTGGGGACAAGCTTGACCTCCTTCTCCACCTTCCAGAAGGGACTTCCCAGCCTGAGGAAGCAGACTCTCATCTTGCCAGCCACCACCCCCACCTTCAGTCAGAGAGTGAGAAAAGAAAACAAGAACAGGTAAGAGCAGCACAAGGAGACGTGCTTTGCAGAGAGAGGGAGATGAGTCCATATTAATTTCTTAAGTGCCTAGTTCAAGGTAAACTTTTCTTTAAGTTTAAAAGAATATACAGACAAGCTCCTTGCTTCATGGGCAATAACAAACAGGAAATCTAATGCACAGCCTGTGGTATGTGCAGAATAAACCAACAGCTCAGCACCAATTTCTTGTGGCGTTAAGAAAATAAGGAGCCTACCACTCCCCTTCAGGATGACTGGTTAGGGCAGTCAGCCATGTAATATGCTGAGTTTATCAGGGAAATAAAAATACATTGGATTTCTGTATCTCACTTTACTGGCCTCTCTGTAAGCCTACTACAGCAGGAGATGGACAACCACCAGATTTTTTTTATCTCTTAGGAATGGATTCTAGGCACAACCATCACAAAATTATAAATAAGGTTCCATTTCTGGTATAATTCTCATAATACAATTTTGTTGTTAGGGTTTAAGGGGAGTAAGGGGAAAATGTCTTCGAAGACCATTGTTACAGTGTGAAGGAGCAGGCTCCATCCCTCAAACGTCGTTTTCCCCAATTCAGTTCATAGAAGAGAGGGGTCTTCCTCTCTTCTATGGAATGGCTTCTACTGGGCGCTCATCAGCTGTCCTGTGCATTCTCTTTTTATCTGGTGACACAACATATAGGAAAATATCCCTTACAGACTAGCAGCATATTTCTTAAAAGTACTGCCACAGAAAAATACCAAAAGACTGAAAAAGAAGCCCTTCACTTCATGCTTACAGGTCAATGGGTGTATTCAGCCACCTGACTCAGACCTGGTGTGGCTTTTGTGTCTCACCTGCTGCCCCAGTCCTCCCACTGACTCCAGGTACGGTGGTGCTGTTCTCAAATTGCTCCAGGGGTACATCATCCAGGGAGTTGTCCTGAGCCTTCAGGTAGGCTTTTCCTCCTCCTCCTGCTGCGATGAGCAAAGGTTCGAAAATGCCATCCTTCTGCTGGAAAACCCCCCATCAAATATCAGAAAAACTTCACATTGCTTGATATGCCAACTCATACAAACTTATCAACGATGAAAGCATCCCAAAGAAGAGTGGCATAAGGCCAGGGTAATGCTACTGCTTGTCTCATAGAATCATTACAAAAATATTTCACATCATGTTCCTGAGTACAAAAGTAACTGTTTAGCTGAATGTCAAGGTTTTGTGACATATTTTTTAAAGACTGCTGCCAGTATTAAATTGGGATCCTGGTGTAATTCCCACATGTGAGCTGTTGAGGACTGAGGAACCAGTTCAGCTAGCCTAATGAAGGTGATAAATACAAGCAGGTATATAAAAAGATATCAACAACTAAAAAGACAAAACCCATAGAGAGACAGAAAGAGGAGAGGGAGAGAAAGGCAGAAGAGAGATTCATTTTTCATAATCTTTTTTAAAAGAACTGTTCATCATATGCCATGACTGACAGTGAGAGCTAGTAGCTCTGCTGGACACTGCTCAGGCAGGATGCAAAGAGGAAATACTTACTCTAAAGATGTAGGTTGCTCCTCCTCCACCCCCACCTCCTCCAGCCCATTCCTTCAGGTCCCTTTTTCTTTTGTAATCTTCTTCAATGAGAGATGACTCCCCTAAGCAGATCTTCTGAGTTTCAGGATTGCCCTGAAAGGAGACAAGAAATGGAATCAGATATCAGCAAAGTCCAACTCTTGAGACTTGTCTGTGTATTTCAGTATAATTATGTGATAATACCTGTCATGCATATTAGACATAGATAAACCAGTATGTAGATTATCTTTGTAGAAAGTGACCTTTTCTACTTGGACTGACAGCTGAGGGATAGATCTGTCTGTAACTTCTGATTTGCAAAAATGTAATAAAAAAACTCATTGTTAATTTCACATTAATTAAATAATTAATATTTTGCATATTTAGAACTTCTTATAACCAAAACATTTAGATATTTTGGATTCTGGATTAATTCTAAGAACTTTCTTACACATTTACTGTTTATTTCTCAAGGAGATAAATGCATAAAGCAAAGGTGACCCACACATAGTTGGGAATAATCTATTGATACATCTTAGAAGAGTAATTTGGAGAACCAGTTTCCTATTCCTGCACCAGTCTTACTGCCTGTGTCCTCTCATTCATGCAGAATCACAGAACGGAAGGCTGGAAGTGACCACTGGAGGTCATCTAGTCAGCCCAACCTCCCTGCTCAAGCAGACTTCTCTGGGGCATGTAACTCAGGATTGTGTCCAGATGGTTTTTGACCATCTCCAGAGAAGAAGACTCTATAATCCCTCCGGGAAGCCTGTTCTGTTCTCAGTCACCCTCACAGCAAAGAAGCTCTTCATCACATTCAGGTGGAACACGTTCCATTTTCTGCCCATTGCATCTCATCCCAAGACTGAGACTGAGATTGATTGAAAATTGACAGAGGGAGAGCTCTTTCTCGATTCTGTTAGTGATGGTGCATGGCCTTTCTTAGTTGGTGAAGCAATTTGTCTGCTTAGTTTAAATAGGAGAACAAATGACAGCAATGTAGATAAAGACCAGGGGAAAGCAACTGGGGTAAATTTGAGGAGAGAGAATCAAGGTTTGGAGCTGCAGAACTTCTCCAGAGAAAGATAAACAAACATTAGTCACCCAATATAGAGATTCATCACCATTTTCAAAGCCAAAGAAAGTTGGGCTTTGGAAGTGGGAAAAATTAACTGCAACTTTTTCCAGTAGCACCTGCCAAAGGGAGATAGTGCTGTGTTGTGATTTGCAATTTGGAGAACAAATGATGAAATGCAAGAGATTAATGGACAGCTTTTCAGATTATGACTTAAGACTAGAGAGTGCACTGAAAAGGGAACTGCAGATACACAAATGTATCTTTTATTTAAATAGATATGATTATTTTATTATATAAAGTGAAGAAAGAGTGGGTTTGGAGTCTATTGGAGCATCTGGGTAAGATATCATCTCCTTTGGGAAAGTAAATAGTAACAGGAATAGTATATGCATCCCCAAACACACCAGTCGGTGAGGAAAAAACAGCTTTGTTCCTGGGCAGGGGTCAACAACACCTCTGGAACAAGGCAGTATCAAAATTGAAGCTGAAAAGAGATCGTTTTTGAGCCTAAGTAACAGAAGGACTTTCAGATCATTTGGTATAGCGTTCTGAGGACACACACATAAGTGTTCATGTCACCAATTTCTGTTTCTCTTGAGTGTTTTTTAATAATCACAAAAACCTAATTCAGGGGGCACTGGAGTTAGTAGGAAGATTCTCACTGGTTTTGGTAGGCATTGGATTCAGGCTTTAGTCTCTAAGCCTAGAGAGTATGTAACACAGTGCAGCCACAACACTGCTGAATGATTCCATAAGTAACAGTAAATTTTCTGAAAATCCTGGCAGACAGCAAAAACCGTGGACTGTGGAAAAACAAGAGACGGAGCACATCTCTTGCCTATGAGCTTCCTGTTTAAAATAAGCACAAGAGAGCTGATGAAGAACTTATTTCAAACACCAGGAGCTTAAAGCAAAGTTTTTGTGGGCTTCATATTTGTTTGTGCATTTTGGGATTGTTTTTCTTTTCAGTGTTCTTTATATCTCTTTTGAGATTCTTTCTAACTTCTTTTATTGGGTCTTTCCTGTCTCCTGCCTGGATTCTGGGATTTCTATCTTTTGTCACCAAACCCCAAGCCACCCACAGAATCTGCAAGGTCTCTGCCCACATGTGCTTCATGGCCCTCACCCCAGGGCAGGCATCCTCCCCCTGCTGCCCCACTAAGATGTACAGCAGCTCGTCTTTCTCCAGGTGGAAGGTGGCTGAGATGAAGACCCCATGGGACCTCTTATTGTGGTTTTTGGCTCCCTTCCCCCCGGCTGCTCCATAGGCAGAAATCCTGCAAGACAAAGTAAATAAATGAAGAAACAGCTCTCACAATTCTCATCCCCAAAATAAATCCATCTGCAAGGTCTCCCAGCCTTCACTTCCAAGCAGACATTTCTCCAGAGAGAAGCTGTAGCAGCTTGTGCGTATTCTTTGTCTGAGTCCCATGTAAGTAGGCTGCACAAGAGGACAGACCAACCCTCACCTGCGTACTGGAAACAGAGACTGCAGGAACAAATAGCATGAGCTGGTACAGCCAGAAGTCTAAGGCTACAGGACTGAGATTATGGCAGCACTCCTTGGCTGCATGCCCACTCTCACTCCTGTACTCTTCTTCTGATCTCTTCTACATCTCTGCTCACCCTTCCATGCTTCACAGTAGCTCAGATATTTATTCTTTATCTACTGCTCCTATTTCTTCACTGTCCCCTCCACCTACTCAGTACAGGTGGTCCCACACTTGTGCTTGTTGGAAATCCACAAACAAAAAGCAGTTAGTGTGGCTGCCCCCCAGCACACACTGATCCTCACCTGTATCTGTTTGTGGCTGGCACTCTCCAGACTTGCACTCCCCGGAGCCTGCCCTCCTTCTCCACAGTCACTGACACGTTGCTGTTCTTGTAGGCACTGTCACACTGAGCTTGAGTTGGCCCATGGGGACCACTGGCACCACATGTTGAGAACCACCACAGAACAACAGTTGTGTCCCCTGTGAGCAAAACAGCAAGAGTTGAGTCAGATGTGAGCTTGCCTGCATTTCTCAGATTATACCTACTTTCTTCTAGTCATAGCACAACTACTGCTTTCTTATGGTTACTGATTGTTTTCTCCTCTCTCCCCTTATTTCCTACACACTATTTGATAAGTCATGGGCTGAAGATAAACTTTATCAATTGGATGTGAGGGGGGAAACGAAAAGGGAAGAGGGACTGAACTTCTAAGAAAGGGTTTATCCGAGTGTCTCACAGATATGATCAAATTCCTCTTCTCAGTGCCAGTCTGAAGCAAGAAGATGCTCAACTTTCCAAATGAGAACTGAACCATTTAGAACTAAACTCTGTACACAGAGACAAGGGTTGAAAACATCTGTCATTGCAGCTAGTGACCATTTATGAAACACAGTTAAAGTTTGAAGAGATTTGTCTCAGGCTTGCACAAGAAGCCTGTGGCAGCAGAAGCTGCCAGGGAGCAGCCTCTTGCTACCATCTGTAGGGACCCTTCTTCCCCAGGAAATTTCTATCCTGGTTCTCATTAAGAATTATTCTTTTGTTTCTAAACAGTGCAGCAGATAAGGATGTTTTCTATTTCACAACCATTTTCTAAGACCCAAAAAATCCATCTGCTCCACTGAATTAGATGAGGCCTAAGAACAAAACTTTTCAGTAATATATTGAAAAACTGTGTGATACAGTTTGTGCACAAAAGCCAGGGTCAAAAGTAGAACTGTTTAAGAGATGAATTATTAAAATAGAGGTAAAAATTACAAACTTTTAAAGGAAAAATTCCAATCTTGTTTAAAGGAAAAGGCAAGCAAAACTATCCCCAACAGACATTATCCTGTGAACATGCAGATGGATCAATGCAGTATGAGTTTCAGCTGCATTACAGAACTCCCCTGAGCTAAATGGGAACAGACAGCAGTACAGATTATCACTTTCCAGGTGGACACAGCCTTCAGGAGCTGGGACAGTCACACAGAGGTATTTGTTGGTTGATAAAACAGCCTCAAGAAAACCTCACCTCCTGACCTTCTCCTTTAGACAGCTCTTCTCACCCACATAATTCTTATCTGTCCTCCAGAGTGGCAATCTCTACCACTACCAGTAAATTAGTCCCCCAGCGTTCTCTTGTTCTCCTGCTTTTTCATACAATTTTCCTCTTCAGTGTATTTCCTCATCCTTACTTACTTCTCTCTGGATTTTCATCTTTATGCCACTTTTCTACACTCATTTTATTCAGCTTCAATGCTTAGCACTCTTTGTATTCCCAACTTTCTGTACAGGTCTATGCCTTTTGTTCCTAAGCTGCCTTTCCATGCACTACAAATCTGAGCCATGAAGCTTCACACAAACTTCATGCAGTTTTCACTTTAAGAGATTCTGCTTTTCTTTAAAGAGGACCTGCCATCTCAGGGCCGGTGAGCTGGGCTCCAGCAAACTTCTTGCCTGTAGCCAAACAAGGACTACCTGACACAGTCTCCCCATCTTTGGCATCTTTGGATTATATATAGTTGCTTCACTGCTGCAGGAAGGCAGATCACACACAGGGGACAGGAAGGGAGTCACCTTTTATGGCCAAGAGATAGGTTTTCAGTACTGAATCATGTACCTGGGAGGGAGGGCTCTTCCAGGGGGTTCAGAGGATGTTCATCCAGGATACTAATCTCACGCGGGTACTGGCGTTTCCCACCAAAATGATTCAGTCGTTTTCCTGTAATAGTTTGTAGAACAGAGAAAGAGGTGGGAGGATGGTAGAAGAGAGCAATAGAAAATTTAAAGATTACATGAATTAATTAAATACAACTGTATGGTTAAGATAAGTAAATATTACCGTGGGTAGAAAGGTGTTTTGAACAATCATAATTTTGTGTTACTCTTTTGAGCCCATATCTTAGGTAAGCTACTTTTATCTGTGCTGAAGGCAGTGGGTCTTCACATGAACACAGACCCTCCATGTTACTCCATGCAGGATAAGCTCCTTGGTCTGCAATTTCCCATAGCTGTGATTATAGGAGATTTTAGGAAAAATGTAGTGTGGGAGAACAGATACCAGGTATTGATGTTCTGCTGTTCCAACAGGCAGGTGACAATTCTGGACAGTCAAATGATTGGAGGTGTAAAGGAAAGTGGTGACATAAATCCTTGTCTTTAGTTCTGAATAGTGTCATGGCAAATAATCCAGCTTAACAGATCACTCCCACCTCAGCAACCAACTCTGAGCCTCTGAGAGCTCACTTAGAGAATAAACAACTAAATAAAATTACATGCCTCACTAACATACACAGTTAAGTAACAGAAACATACCCTTGTCACAAACTGTTAATCTTTGGACAAACTTTTTTGAAAATCACAGAGCAAAACCATACACTTCTGACTACTGAGATAAGCCTTTGAAAACCAGCCCTTTCTCAGAGAGGAGGAATTTAAAATCAACTGCTGATCCAAATAATCTGAATGTGTTGAGAACACCTCAACACCAATGCTGCCTTACAGCAGGAAAATAATAATGAACCTTTGCCTCATAATCTGCAAGCATCCTGTTTCAATAGTTAAATTGCCCATTTTTATGCAAATATTTTGATTGGAAAATCTCTAAGAAAAAGGCCAGGCTTCCTTCCATTTTGTGAGCTCTCAGTTGATTTAATACTGAACATTTTTAATCAGTGGAAAAACATTACAAATATTTCAATTTCTTCCAGTTGTGAGAATCTAACAGCTGTCTGATGCTCTACTGAAAAGAGACTCACTCAGTTCCAGATGGACAATTATCTCTGCCACAAAGCCACTGCTCTAAATAGCAATAATTAACACCCTTGTTAGCTGTGTCAGAAAGGCCAAATAACTAATTGAAGCATGGAGACCTTGCTGAGGTTTTACTCCTGAGAATATTCCCCCCAGGTCTGACTGAAAGCACATTGATGCATGCAAACAAAAGAAAGCTTTGTACTGACACACTCTGCTCATACTGAGATGGAGAACTTCAATGGATGAAATTGTCAAGCCAGTGAAAAATGAAATTAACCCAAAACAAATGAAATTAATCAAATGCAAGGAGGAAAACAGAATGAAAAATACAATGGCCAGAAAAGATGTTCCCCAAGGCCTGCACTGAATTACAAATTCCAAAGGTCACAACAGTTTCAGACACTTAGCGATGTACCAGAAGCCTGGTTATGTTTGCCAGAGCAAAGGAATGTAAATTACTCTCTGAAACAGAGTTGATCTTTGTGTCTGCATGGATTTTTTTTGTGTCATCCCATCCCAATGAGTATCTTAAGGCAATGCCTCATTTCCAAACAGTCTTTCCTCCTTTTCCAAACAGTCTCAAACCCTTGCTCTCCAGAAGAAACTTAGTCTCCTCCGTTCTAAGCAGCAGATCAGCTGCGCCACGGGCTGAGCGTGGCCTTGTCCACACCAGCTGCTAAATGCTTTAAAGGCTGATTTATGCACTGTCAGACACAAACTTGTAAGGTGGCATTTTCTACAGACCCAGTCTAGCCTGGGACCCAGGGGCTGGTGCTTCAGTCTATTTTAGTTTCCACTTCCTCTTCTAACAGCCAACATGTTGACAGTAGAGTGAATGGAAGGGAACAAGAATTAATCCATATTAAGGTGTATCTATATTAAAAAAATGCAAAAAGCACAGACTTCCTCTTTCCAGGTATTAGCTAACACTGATTTCTCCACTGAAATGAGACAGAGCGAAGTGTAAAGGAGAAAGAGACATCTTCTGCAAGCAGAGAGCTAAAGTAATTCACTCATTCACTGCTTCAATATCTCTGCGACTGTAGTGAAAAGGGAGATAGAGATCTGGTGGCTGAGACTAATCAGAGTAAGATGCCTCACAGAATCCTCAAAATGTGAATGGTCTCCTCAGAGATCCCACCTCACTAATGATGATTGCAATACTTCTGAAAATCAGACTTTGATGGATCAGGGACTCTAAAATCAAGAAGTAGAGGTAATCTGTACAAAAGCTCTCTTTGGACAGCCTTGCCATTTATAAAGCAATCTGGGAAATCAAAAATTATGCACAGACTGAAATTTCTCGGCCAGCGCAGTAGAGTTTGACAGACCACAGACCTGTGATCTTAATTGGAACAATACAATGCTTAGAGCGCCAAAACATAATAGTAAAGGCAGTGAGAAGGGCAACTCAACTATCAGCATTCTATTTGCTGTGCTAGTCCATATTTTCATGTTAAAATACTCAAAATTCAGACCTCTTCCCATATAAGCACTATTTCACTGAAATTATGAATATCTTTATGCCTGTCTGCCTGAAGTTCTCACAATGAACCAGACATGCCATCCAGCCTGTGACACTGTCTTACACAAGGTGATGGTATAAGCCAAAATGTGGTTTCACCTCACCCTTTCCACAGGGAAAAACATCTGTCAGTGCCCAGGAGCTGCCATCTAAAGAATGGTCTGTTTGGGTTTTGTCCTTATTGATGTCTCTTCAGCTGCCCTCACTACCCAGTTGTTCACTTAAATCTTACTGAACCTTTCCTCTCAATTTTAAGGTCTGTGGAAAACCTCACCTTCTTTCCCATCTTGGATATAGAAACAGTGCTTTCATTCAGCACTGGGTTTTGTAGAGAGTTGAACTACAAAATTGAAATAGATGAAGAAAATAATATTTACATCCTAGCAAGCAGCAAATCCTTCCTTCCTGCCATACATCCTTCCTGCTGCCCTCATGAAAAGAACTCACTGCTTGGATTTTAATTGGCTCTGTCTCTGACATCTGAAACCTGTCCTTGCCAGAGAGAAGTAATTTCATTACTGGAAACACAGCAGAGCTGCTGGGCTTGTCTGTAACCTAACTGAATTAAAGTCATGAGAAGAAAAATACAAGGGGGCTGCTCTCAGAGGCGAGAAAATGTCAATTTGCTAAGAGGATTCAAGGAACAGGGGCAAGTGCAAGGCTTCTGAGAAATGTTTCCCTTCTGCTATGTTTCATCTGCATGACTCACACATCCCTGGGTCGTGCCTTCAGATGGGGTAAGTCCAGTTGCTCCTGGACATCAGTGCAATTCATCCCAACTGAAAATAAGGAGTAGCCTGGGTGGTCTGATGGACAAGCTCTGATAACATTGCTGCAGGGGCATTTACACCCCACCTGTTTGCCTAAGGATGCATACCTAGACCACTCCCAGCAAAATGTCTGTGGGTAAACTGGAGGGTCTATCTGAGAGCAGTAAACTCTAGCAGCTGGGTGCACATCAACTGGCCCAAGTGCATCTGGAGTCACTCCCTTCAGCTTTCTCAAGATTCCAAAACTAGCTGTTAACATGGAGGTCGGGAGAGAGGACTGTAAAGAACTGGAGTGAAAAAAATGAAATTACCATAAAGGACCAGCTTTTGCTCTTAATTTCAAGTGAAACTGTGCATACTCAGCATTTTATAGAAGAGCGGTTTCAGTGCCTGCAGAACAAAGGGACAGAGAACAGGACACTGAACCAGAAAAAGATGGGAAGGAATAGTGGCTTCTGTTGATGAGCTTTTACCACATCTGTTTTGACATAAACCTTCCCACATGTTATGTTAGGCTACAGGTAGCCGCTGCAGGGACATGCTATGACCCTAAATGCTGACATATTGAGTGTAGTGACACGTAGAGTGGCACCGTATCACCAATCCACATTTTATCTGCAACAGAATTCACCATTCAAGTGTTGCATATCTTCCAGTTCCTTTGCAACGGAGCATATTTTTCCCCAGGGACAAAAGAAGGCAGTTTCTAATATTTGCAAGTAGTACAAGTACCTAAATTCTTTCCCTTGTCTGCTAAGAGAATCCACTACGACTCCGGCTAACATCTTTCAAAGGGTAGCACTGGCTCCATTGTTCTCTGGAACTGTTGTCAGACACGTTATATAAAGGAAAGCTGTTATATATCTGGCAGTGATAGCTAACGCACCTCCTTACAGACTAAAACAAACTTGTTGGAGTAATCTAAATTTTATTGTCAGAAGGTCAATTTACTCCTTTATTTTCTTTCCTTTCTGCACAAAAATATGGTGACTTTTGCCTTTGACTTTAACAAATTTGTTTCAGGTATCAATTACCAGGGCGCATAGATCAGCAGGGACTGTGGAAAAAGTGTGATGTAATCCCTCCATTTAGGGCTAAGGAGTAAGTTTAGTGTTTCTTGCCAAGACACACAGACAGGTCTCAACTATGTGATACAGAATATCCCAGTTTAGAGAAAAAAGAAAGAGCACTGGGAGATTGACACGGAGTAAAATTGCCTCTACTTGCAATCTTCAGTAGGTCTGAGATAAAATGGCATTGTGCTGCCAAAGGTGACACAAATGATCCATACACACTCTATGGGGAGACCAGAACATGTGTCTTGGACCTGTGGGATGCTGATTACACTACCTACATTTTTGGGGGATTCTGTGACATTTGTGGCTCACCGTCAGTGAAGCAGTTCAGGCCAAATGTAATGTTGTCGATAGCAATGTCAGCTTGGGAATTCCAGCCCCAGGTTGCCAGGAGTTCCAGTTGAAACCTTTGCAATAAGACAGATATTTTAGAGAAGACTAATAAAGGACTAAGGAGAGGGAAAAACAAAACAAACAAACAAACAAACAACCTCCCTAAAAATACAATGTTCCCTTTTGATGGAAAAAACATCATCACTATTTAGAATTTTTCCTCCAGGCAAGTCCAGCTGAGCAGCCAAAAGGGCTTGCTCTAAGTCTTAGACACATATAAACCCCTTGCAAGTGCCATAACATTCATACAATTTCACATTTCATAGGGAACAGGATTGAGAGCCTTACTTCCCCTGCTATCTGCACATACATACAAGCAACTGGCCCCCATTAATTGTTATACACAAACAACCATCCATATTCATTACCACAAACAGTCAGAGAGTTAGACTGGGGGAAAAAATATCTTCTTTCCACTCCCAAAAAGATAAACACTGAGCAGAATATCCAAAAATCTTGGGCCTGATCCTCAGCCAGTGTAACTCAGAAGGTGATATGAGTTTATTTCAGAAGGGTAGGACTTTATAAATTTCAGCCATAATTCCTTGAAGATTTAGCTCCCTGGGCTGTCTCATCTTTTTCCACTATGACCAGGAGTTCCTTATCTAGGAGCTCAGTCATGTCCATGTGCATTGCTACCTTCTGAATTCACAAGGAAGAAAGAAAATGAGCTGAAGGATCTCCTTCTAATGGATAGAACTGAATTGTTTTTCATTACATTTCAGAAATAAACAGATGTCTGATGTCCAGTCCATTTAGAGCTTATTAAAAGCATATGGGCAAGACCTCTGTTGCTGTCTCTGGTAAATCTCAATGATGATTTATGAGAGATCAAGCACAGACCTGCCTAACGCATTAATCATTCAGCCTAGAAACACACTTGTCCCAAATTAATGGCAGTAAAATATGTGTGTGCATTCCACCCACCAACCAAATGTTGGTTGATATCCACAGTTAGTTGCACTGCTGCATAAAAATCTTTAGGGATAAACTGCTTTTACCCCAACTCAAGAATGACCCCTTGTGCTTAAATGAAGGCATCCACACCTTCAGGATCTGAGCACTCTAAGACTAAGAGCAGCAAATGCAAATCAAGGGTCTCTTGAATGACCTCTTAGCTGGGGTGTTAGAGGAATTTTTCATTAGATCCCCTTCCTACAGAAACCCTCCTCTTCAATACCAGGCTTAGCAGGAGCATTTTCAAACCTCGTATAAGTCCACTGACAAATGACAATAATTCCCCCATTTGTCTGATGGAAGAGAGTCAGAGCACCCTGAGCCCAGAACCAGGGCACTTGCAGGACCCACAGGCATGGGCAAAGCAGCCCATCCTACTTACAGCACTCATATGGCATTATAGCCTTGGTCAGGTTAATCTGCTATGTCATGGAGACAGAGCAGACAAGGGTCCCTGGCACTGCACTGCAAGGTAGGCTTCTGCTCCACAAGAAGGAGCAGAGCAGTACAAGGGGGACCTTGAGGGATGACAGCCCCTCCCCACCTCCAGTGCATGAGAATTGACATTTCATAACCTCTAGGCTCTGTATGCCTCCCCTTCCCCTTAACTTCAGAAAAAGGGAAGGAATTTGTCTTTTGAACTCAGTGCCGTCTTTGCCTGAGGGGTTTCCAGAGTTCCTGTTCATTAATCTCTTTTTGCTGACCCCAACAAATTATGTTCTCCAGCTCTCTGTTGTCCGGTCATCTGTCTGTTTGGTTTTCTTCTGGTAGCATTATTTCTCCTTGTGTACGTGAACCAAGTAAGTGAATTTGCCAGCCAATCACCAAAAGCATTTTTTCAAAGTAGCTAGATGCCCAGCTGGGAGGCTAATCAGCAAACTGTCTTCCTTTTCTCCTAAGAAATAAATTCATTGGATGAAGGTGTTGCTAAAAACTACCTAAACAGAGCCTTTGTGTCCTTCTTGTCTCCTTTTTGCTAAGGTTTCTGAACTTCTGACCCCATGAAGCAGCTCATGGCCTGCAACTTGTTACGTCTCAATTCATGCCTACTCTTCCTCCTGTGTAGTCTGTCCCCTTCCTGCCCACTTTACTGCTGCCTACCATCCCCTTGAGGAACCAGGGAAAAGTACAGCACTTTCCTATAGCTAGAGAAGAACAGGAGTTTCCCAAATATTTGGGATACAGAAAAACAGCATGCCAGCTCAAAACGTGCACTAAAAATGAACGCAAGTGCAGCCTTGCTAGATCTTGCATTACCAAGGAAAGCTGACAACATCCATAAATACACAGAATAATCATTCAGGAAGTTATATACCAAACTGCAGTAAAATTGTCCAGCAATGTTTATCACACACCTCTATTTACCATTGTTTTCAACTTCACTAACATTAAAGTCACTTAGGCTGAGCTTTTCTATTTTGGGTGACTTGGTATGGCTTTTCTAGCAGTCAAAACATTTTGTGAGTGCTGAGGATGAGGCAATGCAGGGATTCATGATTCTGACCATGCTCAAAAATGCTGGTAACTTTTTAAGTACTCTGTGCTACTAGGTATTGGAAGAGGGATCTGAAATTTGGGAGGAAGAGAGCCACATATCAGGCATGAAGCGTTTCTTTTTCACATGAATGAGAATCAATTAAAATTTTAAGAAAACAGCTTTAAAATTTTTAAATCCCTGACATTTCTATGCCTCGAATTTTTTTTAATCCTGCAGTTTCCTCTTCCCTGGATATCTGAAAGTCTCAGGCAAATAGTACTTTCCACGCAGTGCTATTATGCTCCATGTCAGTTCTGCTTCAGCTACATGAGGTGAGAACTACCCTTCCAAATAAAAAGATAAACATTTTTTTTCCCCAGCTTTCCTTTCTGTTGCTGATTCTGGCCAAACAGAAGAAAAAAAAAGCTGCCTAAACTGAATCCAGAGTTAACAAGGTGTTATCCTGGAGAGAGGCTGAGAGCTCACTGGGAATTTTACAGCAGAGGAGCTTACACTTGGTGTGCAGAGGATTTGGGCCCAAGATCTACAGAGAGAATTAAAGAGCCAATCAAACAGGAGTACTGGGAATAAACCTTTACTGTAGGTCTGGGAGCATTGAAATGAAAGCACACTAGAGATAGCTAGGAGGAGAAGGGAAGTGCAGGGAAGGGATTCAGACTTCTTAATTAAAAAAATCCAAAACTAAACAACACACAGAGACAGCAGCTGCTAGAAGAGAGATGGAAACAAGAAGCAGGGAGAATTTCAGAAAGGAAATAACAACCAGAGGCATGAGATAGATAAAATGGTTTCCCAAATGGGAGGCTGAAGCAAAAGAGAGACCAAGTATATGAAAACAAGGAAGAAAGGCAACAAGTGCCCACAGTAGCAGATAGGACAGAAGGAATAGAGCATGGAAACAGCAAGACAAGAGGACTGGGACAGAGCCCATGTCCTAGGAGCACAAAGACCAGGTTTTCCTCCCTTGGGGAAATGGCTTCAGCACCTTCAACTCAATGGGTGCTTGTTCTGTGTCTGTTACAGATCAATGTAGCAAATGGCAACTTATTACTTCTGGCAGTCACCTGGCTATCACAGCTGGTACAGATTTGCCTTCTGGACTGAACAGTTCCATCCTTACTCATTGTGATCATCGCTGTTATGCCACTCAGTTTTAAATTTGAAAATGTCATACAGAAAGGTTACATGAAGTAAAACAAGACAGAACTACTTGAAATAGACTGCAATAATTAATACATGCATAACCTAACTACAGCTTTCATTTTGCCTAAGTGCTCAACTTTTTCAAACATTATGGTATTTGAACATTTGAATATCAATTTGTTTTTCATGCCATTCTTGCTATTGCTCAAAAAAAGTGTCTTGCTGTCCGTTCTCTTCTGCCACATAAGATTCATTTTGCTTTGGAATTAAGGGCCAGTACAGAGATTGGAGGCTTCAGGGAACAAGCATAAGGAACTGTAATCAGAGGAGGCAGAAGTTCTTAAATAGCTCTAAAGAGCCCCTTGGTCTCTGCTGCAGACAGGTCCACAGTGGAGTGCCCAGAGAAATGAGCTATTCTGCACTAATTCTTTACATATTGGCCACACTCTATATATTCACAACTAACAGATAGTAATCCACAGGGCTTCAGATTGTGTCCGACAAGAATTTTAAATACAGCGCTAGCAAGCAGACCAATCTTACCCTAAAGGAATCATTCATGGCAAATGTGTGCATGGTGAACATGTGATAATACTGACAGGTAATCAGGAGGTAATAATAATACTGATAATACTGAAAGATAATCAGGAAATTAAACCAGAAAGAGGGTAGAGCAATATTTATAATATTCACTGTACAACTTTGGAGGGTTTTTTTCCTTAAGTTTCATGTGAAACAGGCCTTCCTTAGGAATATGCAAAAAAAAAAAAAAAGTTCCCCCTCCCCCCTCAAAAAAAAACAGATTGGAGAAATTGAAAAAAATAAAAACTTATGTTGTGCAAAATAACCAGCTACCAACACCAGCTACATGACTTGAGATTGAGTTTCACCAGGTGAGGGAGAAGAAATGCCTGAATTAAATTTGATTGCATTGAAATTCTTTAAATCTTCAATATTTCACTTCATCTGAAAACCAATGTTGCACTGCATTTCTACATTTAAACCCCTGAAAACTTTAGTGTAAAGTTCATTTGGGCAACAGTCTTTTACTGAAATCATTGCATCAGTAATGTGGCAATGAAGGATTTCCAGCTGCCCAGGCTACAGTGACATTGATCCTAAACTGGACAGCTCTATTGGCTGAACTGTGGAATTACCATGCCTTTGACTTATGTGAGTGTTTTCTACTATGGGAGTACATAGTTTTCTACTATGAAGTGCAGCTATTCTAATGCAGCTGTTTCCCTGCTGGGAGCACTTTGCCCCTGTAAGTACACTGGCTTGCTCAGATTGCTAAAAGGTTTTTAGTACAGATGCTTGCTGTTTCCAAAACCTAAGTACTGTTTGAGGCTGCACAGAAGTGCTGTCACATGGCATGGGGTTGTGTTGAGCTAAGCCATGCATGTGCACAAAGATATGCACTTATGGCAGAATACTTCCTGAGCAAGCAGAGTCACTTAAAAACAGCTCTGAAAAAAGGCAGGAATGAAAGTGACACTTCACAACAAAGACAGGAACAATTTACTAAATCTATAGGGGTAACTCTGGCTGCCAACAGCGGAGCTCTTACCGGTTCTGAAGCACTGGCATCGGTAAGGTGATGAGAAACCAGTGGTCGCTCCAGCTCCCTGCCCTTTCCCACATTGGCAAGGTGATTGGAGCTCCCTTTATCTCTTCCCTGAGAGAGAAGGAGACTGTACCATTGTAGCTTCCAAAAACATGCACTGAAAATTGAATCTGTAACAGAGGAAGAAGAGGAAAAGAATGATAATCTGTGACAAAAGGGAAAAGTAGTCACTTCTCCCATCCCTAGGAATTTGAGACACCAAATCTCTGAACCTGGGTCAAATTCTTTAATGACAGAAATCACTAATCTCCCACTCATTGACTGTATTTGACTCAGGCCCCGTTATTAGCACAGAACTCTCTCAGGGAAGACCCGAACTGACACTCCTGTTGGGCAGCTGTTCCTCAACCACTGATGACAATATCCACAGCCTCTGACACCATCTGGGTGAGAGGACTGATTTCCTTGTTATTGTCTTCTCTGAGGGGAGAGCTGTCCTGCCCAGATACCTTTAAAATAAGAACTGTCTCTAGAGGCAGGAAACCTCGGTCCATCTACCTGCTCCAGTTCATAGGCACCACCTGAATTGTAGCGCCCCTAAGACAAGTGAGCAACAAAATCAGCAGGCCAAAGAATGTTTTGAAGCAGGACTTGTCCTCTTTCTTTGAAACAACCACTTGCAGTTTGCCACAGAGCAAGAGAAAGTTGTCATTTCTACCACTGCTGTGAATATTCAGCTGTTCTTAATGTTACAGAGAGCTCCAGAACTGGCAGGAAAGGGAGCACACACATGTTCTGCAAAGAACAACCACAGAAGTTTCTTGATCCTGCAATGTGGCCTCAAATCCTTGCCAGTGGAGCAAAGAATCTCCTGTGGCTTCCGCACAATAACCAACAGCTACTGCTTCTCCTCTCCTGGTTTTGTAAACCTATCTCCAATCACATTTTATTTTGTTGTTTATGTTGTACCCAGCATATTTTACCTGGATTTATAAATAAATATAAATGCCAAAGTTGCATTTCTGGCACCTGCACCGTATTTATTTTCCCAGGTCTAATTAGGAGGCATCAAAGCTTCCTCTTTTTCCTCTAGCAAGCCTGGACTCCAGCTCAAACTTGCAGCTTAATTTTCCTAAGTGTTATGACTATAATATTATTTAATATTTTCAATTCCAGCATCTCAGAGCTGCAAGGCAAGTTGTGTGATTTTATCAAGGCCAGGTTGCATTAACCTTATGAAATTCCTGAAGAATATGATCAGAAGTTTATTATATTCATCTATTTCTGGAAAATCCAATGCATTCTAACTTCACACTCCTGTTCTCAGTGAAACTATCAAGTTTATTTACTCCTGTACAAGTATTGCAGAATTTATGAAGAAAAATCTCAGCAGCAGATATACTAAAAGACTGAATGGCCCAGCCAGACAGCTCCATTTTCTGCAACAACTGGCTGCCCCATACAACTTAGCTGTTACCTCTCAGAGTTACCTCTCAGTAACTCTTCCTATGTTGTACAGCCAGCCTGGGGAGTTTTCCACAAGGAGTAACTGATTTGGGGCTTCTGCTTTCACTTACTGGGGATGCACCTCACATCCCCTTTCCAGTTCTGAACAAGTGGCCAGCTAGGCAGCATAGCCAGCTCTTCTGCTTTCCAGTGTTGTGCAGAGGGACAGGAGAACAGACTGTGTAAATGGTGCCTACAGCCTGATGATTTACTCCACAAAGGTGCTTAGACAGAAGTGACACACCTGGTAGTCTTCAGTGGCAAGACTGGCTGGCAAGCTGGTACTGGAAGCTTTAGCCATACCACTTGTCTGAGTGCTGTCTGCTCGCAGGTAGAGGAAGTGTCCTGTCAACACAAAAGTGAAAAAGACAAAATGATCTCTTGGTTTTTTGTGTAATCACTTGAAACAATTTAACATTATGAATGTTGCTGTAGGTATGAAAGCATATGTAGGTGTAAGCAGGGCTTGAAAGCAAGTCTGTTGGTGAGGTTGTAGTAAACACTCTGGTAGATTTTAGCAGCACAAAAGTCAACATCCCAAACCCCTTATTGGAATGTGAGTGGGTAAACCTCAGAGACCACTCAAGGTCTTCCCATAGAGAGGTGCACACCAATCTACACTCCTAATTCCTACACCATTAGCATCAATGACCCTTGCTGAGTAAAACACTGGGCTGGAAGAGTTTGTTTGCAGTCTTTGTTTCCAGAGAGACCTTACATAAGCTCTCAGGAGACAAACAGGATACTTGCATGGAAACCCTTCATTTTGGCAGGGAACTGTGAGGCAAGACTCATGTGTACTAACACTTCTGACTTTCAGCCTGAACAAGTGAGTGTCTGGCCTTCCTCCTTCTTATTTAGCAAGTTGACAGTTCTGCAGTTCTGTTGGGCAATTTTTACCTTGTGATGCAGCAGTTATCATATTGCTGCTGAGGTGCTCTGCTACTGAGCAGCTCATAAGAGAAAGGAGGATGGAAGAATATGCTTTATACAATTTTTTAAAGGTGAAGGAGAATCCTTTCTCTGAGAGTTTTGAGTTAACTTTTTTGCAGCACTTGTTTATTATAAAGTTTTGAGTCATGTTCAAAAGTTGAAGTTGTTACAGATAATACTGATGCTGAAGTTCATTTGGCAATGATGCCAAAATTTTTCAACCTATTTAAATAAACTTAAGTTCAAGGCTCTTGTGTACATGCATGCACAGAGTGGGAGAGATAACAATGAAGAACCTACCACCAGTGACTTGCAGAGTAGACCCTATAAATGAGTCCTCTTCAATCATTTTGGAAATGCCCCGAATAGACCAAGGAGATGCTGCAGTTTCATTCAGTGTCCAGCCACACAGACCTTCTTCAAATGAGCAATGTGAACCCTCTGGGAGACTGTCTACAATTGAGAACAAGAAAAAGTAGGAAAATAAGAGCAACTTGATTATGGAAGAACACAATCAAAAACAAAAGTGAAAATCCATTGTTGTCCAAGTTATCCAATATATGCTACACTATCAAAATAGGTCTCATTTGTTTATTTCCAGAGTCATTATTAGAAAGCCAACACTGTGCTTCTGTAAACATTTGAGTCTTTTTTGTGCTGTCCTACTCTAAATTCTGGGCAAAACTGCAGCCCCTGTAACCTCAGGAACGGCAAATCACAGCCACAAATTTGGTAAAGGTCTTGCTACATATGAAATTGCAGGCATCACAAAGTTTTGTGTCCAATTAAAGGAAGGCAAATCAACAGATTATTTTAAATCACCACTGTACTTGCTAAAGCTAAAATTACTTCTTAGCAGCTCATGCACTGTTAGGGGATTTTTCTGTCCTGATGTGCAAGAATTCCTGAACAGAGATCTTGGAAGAACAGATTTATGACACTGTAGGTAACTAAGAGTGGAAAGATGATTAATACCCTTTCCTGAAGGGAAGGCTTAGATCTTGGGTCCAGAAGGAAATTTTCACCCACCTGCAGACATGTAAATAACATTTTCCCTTTCTCTGAAGTAGCAGTAACTGTGAAGGGAAGGTCATTGAGCCCCTTACTCAAATACTTAAGAAACAAAACCAATTTTTTAAAAAAAATCCATTTTGCTCTTTATAGGGTGAATTTTCAAAGAGAATGTTGGTATCCAATTAAGATAAATTGGACAAATTAATTCAGGAGGTGAAATACTGAATTAATCTAAAGATGGAATCAATTTAACTTATTTTGTATTTTAAATTATTTATTCTAATGGAATGAAGGTTCCCATGAAGTGTCATGCCACATACTCACCACACCTCACTCCTTCCTCTTTGGTAGGGCAATCACTGATGAACTCACAGATCTGTAGGTGGCTGACACAGCCTCCATGAAAGCAGGGGAAGGTTGAGCCTTTGTCATATACAAAAAGGTCTTGATTTTCTTTATCTAATGGAGGGGAAAAAAAGAGAACTAAATCTAGAGATGAGTTGACAGGATGTGTATGACCCTTTTTGTGCACTAGTTTTCACAGGACCTTGTAGGACCTTGCCCTTCGTACAATAAATCTCTGCTATTTTCATGTAGGTTTCTATCCAGCGTGAGATTCCTGGACCAAAATTTTGCCCTTCTCTTTCTGATGTACTGCTTTTGATGTGTTTGTTCCATCTTCAGATAATTTTGGGGTTTTTTTAATGAAGGGCCTAGCAGTTTCCTACTGTGATGTGCTCCTCAGTTCTGCACACATGACTGTGCACCTGCCAGGCAGCTGTGACATGCTGCATGGCACCCTGCTGCTGGAGGCAGGGACACCCACTTATCTCCAGATACATTGCTATGCCCTGTTGAAGCTCAAGTTTAACCAGCACTTGGGCTGCTGACTCATTTCTGTGCCAGCTTCCAGCTGTGGCATCCAGCCCATGAGGAAGCTGCTTCCCCAGCAAGCTGGCTTGCTGTACACAAATTTTAGTCATGCACCCTAGCTAGTCTAGTCAGTTCTAGTCTGGGAGCATTTGACTGACTTCACAGGTACCCATCAACCAGGCTGAACATGATTTTTAAGTCTGATATTTCCCAAAAGCCTAAGTCTCAATGCACCCAGCCTGTCCTGTGGATGCAGGCCTGTGCTCAGGCCTGTTATGGACATGCTGCCCTTTAGCAGAGCTCTGCAGAGAAGTAACACTGGGAGGCTACCACTCTGGAAAAAATGTAAAAGTTAGGGAACCAATTGCAGGAGAAAGAGAAAAGAACACCTCTGCAGCAATCCAGGTACACACTCTGAAAAAATAATTTTTCATGACACTGTTTTGTGCCAGATACATGCACAAGGTTATTTAGAGACTGAGAGCACAGTGCTTCAGCATTATGCATCTCTCAAAACTCTAGGACTGTCAAAAAAATTACATTAAAAATATAGCATGTTAAATTAAAAGAATAATGACTAGAATTAAATTTCTAATATGATCAAAACCATGCTCACAATAGTGTTTTCTTTTTACATTACATTCCAGGCTGTTTCTACAGGGTCTGCAAAATGGAAACAATAACATTATATTAATTCATGAAATTCAGGAACTGAAGATGATTATGTCCCCAACCTGAGACTGCCTGTGCTGACAGACTCCTGCACTTCCAAGAAGCCTAAATGACATTAGCAAGGTTCTGCACAGCCGCTGAGGATCATTTGCATGACATTCAGAACAAAACTGTAAGCTCCAGGTAAAACTGACATCTTAGCTGAGCACTAAGGGCCTTAAAGAAAATAATTACATTCCAATTATTTTCATTTTAGATACAAATTCTCAGCCTGGCAGTAACAAACAGATCCCATCAGGAGCAGATAACTGTTTCTTTCCTTCATAGATTTGTTAGATAAAGCCCAAGTATGGAAAAGGCTTTGGTTACACAAGGTAGACTGTTCTTGATTATTTAAGAGAGAAAAATACTAAATACTAAAATAATCTAGATAAAGACTTTTTTCATCCTTGTTTTTGGATTCAGCATAAGTCCAGTTGTTTTTGGTTTTTTCCCATATAAAGATCAAACAAAGCAAAGCTCAAAAGCAGAGAGGATCACTAGAATTACTTCTATAATTCTGAGTTACTCATCTTTCTTCTAAATTCTCTCCTGTCTCCCATTTTGGTGAGAATGTGTTTGTTTATTCCAAACCTGTCTGTGTTGCAGCATACCATGAAAGCAGTTCCTGAGCTGCAAGGAGCCCACTGCCAGTACTCCAACCTCTTGTGCTCCGCAGTTTGAATACATCAGGGTGATTTTGAAAGGTCTTTTTATTTGTCCAATCTGGGCCACCAGGTGTTTCCATTTCATCCTAGAGGAAAACAGAATGTTATCAGACATACACACAGCACATCGGATTCCATGAAGTCTCCAGCATAATGATTCTGCATTGTACCAAAGAGAAGTAATAGTATCCATGTGGGAAATGGATCAATGAATTCAAATAGCAAGATAATATATAAAACAAGTGATGTTCAGCCTAGCAAGCTCATGTAAGGTTATCTTTGCTGCAGAGCTTATTGTTAATGATGAAGAGATCCAACCATTCCCAATGATTCTTAAATGAATCTTAAATTATCACCAATTTTGGTGACACACTACCCCAATATGTGCTTTTCACATACATGTTTGTGTTCTGTTTGCTCTTTAAAGTACAGATCAACCAAACAGCTGCACAAGACTCTGGATCTCCTCAAGCCAACACTGACATTGTGTGTTCTGAAAGCAAATGTCTGACCCTGAATGTTTCTTGGTTGTGTCAAGAATGAAAACCTTTATCTGTGTATTGCCTGTCTGATTTTACACCTTAGCAAACCACGGTGCAACCATAAAGCAAGGGATAGAAGAGAAGTGCTGTTCCAGGAAATGCAGATTACTTGTGCCATTTACATTTCACTACAGACCAAATGCCATAACCTGCACATCTAGACTGCAAAGGTTTCTCAACTGTGCAGCAGTTGTGGCAGTTTGGAGAAAAACAAATGATCCCCTGTACCCTAATTTTAAAGATGGTTGTCAGACATCACAAGCTAGAGAGAGTTACCAAAAGGGGATTTTTGAAGTACTTCACTCAAATTAAGTCTGATGGAAGTCAGGGTATCCAGGTATCACCTAAAAACTACAGCAGAATTCTTAAAAATATTTTCACTTTATTTTTTTGTTTCCAAATCTGTTCCTATATCTTATGCTAGCAAGACAGTAAAGCACAGTTAAATATATGTGTTATTATTTTGTAAATAGATTGGAGTAAGGCTGGTGAGAAAGGAATCCTTGCTCTAAGCTCTTTTTCTGAAAATAGTATCAGACAGAGATAATTTTACCCACATTCTATACATTGCTGATGTTACTTGTCCACTCTGGACAAATGACCAAGGTGGTTGCCAACTTAATAAGAGTAATAAGAAGGCCAGGCCACAGTGTTAAGACATGCTGATCAGCTCTGCTCCTAGGATTATTTTTTCATGTAGGAAATGCCTTCCGCTGCATTGAAGTGCTCTTGTACCACTGCACCAGAAACACCTTAGAAGGCAACACCAGATTACAAACACATCTCTTCTGGACTCAGTATAAAAATCATAGAACCGTATTTGCCACTTGCAAAAAATCCAGAGCGACTTTAATTTTTTATCACCCTCTCTTGAATTTTCCCTTCATAATTATATAACTTTGTCTGGACAATCTTTTACTATCCCTTCTATGGCAACCACCCACTTCTCACTTCACAATTGTACACACACATAAATACCCACAAATATCCTGAACTCACATGAAACTGAGCTCTTCTTACATGAAGATGACCCTATTTCCTCTATTTCCTGTCCCATCATAATATATTCAGTAGCTCATTATAATTTAATTCATCTTCAGAAAGGTACAGCCCTGAATTGCAACAGCACAATATCTACTTCCCAACATGGAAGAACAACTGCTTTGCTTTCAATTTGTATTGCAGTGCAGCTTCAGGAACATCCAGCACCTATAAATATATCTCATAAATATTATAAATATCCCCCCTGCCACACTGTGGGACAACATCCAAGACCATACAGCACTGACCCAGAACTGAGTCACTTCTGCTACATGACACAGCTTTGTTCATCACTCCATTGCATCCTGTTGACCACAAGAATGAACGAGTCATAATCAAATTGGTGCAATAAGCCTATAAAGGTAAGGACAATCTTTCAAATTTAGCTATTAGGCATAGTTCTAATACCTCTACCAAGTTACAACCCACACTCCAGCTGAGACTCCACAGTATTGCCAGAGTTAACGCAACACTGAGTGCAGAACCTGTGGCACGCAGCCTCTGATTCACAGGCAGTGGTACACTTAGCAGTAGCAGCTGAAGAGCCCCACAGCTGAAAACAATGACTGTTTCAGCTGCTGCACCTTAATACTATATGCTTTATGAGCCAGACACTTTGGAACTTGCTGTTTATAGACTGGTACATCAAAATAAAACTAGCCATCTAAGTCAATAAACCAAGCTCTGAAATGCCATGACTCAGGAAGACAGATTGCCCATTCTGCCATCTTTGCTGGGAGAGGTGTGGTATCTGGTGGAAGAACAAGGGCCACCATCTTAAGCCACTTCTGCTGCGAATTAGTGCTCTGGCTCAGAAGAGCTGCTAAGTTCCCACGAAACATCCCAGTTCTGAACTGAAATATTTCTGCTACTGAAATTTTCTCCATTTATAACATGCCAGAAGAAGCTGTCTAGCATTCAAAGGTTGCAAAAATGAGAAGTGGCTTTGCATTACATAGAGTGCTTTTGTATGTAAAGTCTCTTCATCATCAAGGTATTCCTCAAGAAAGCCTCCCCCACTAGATCCAACTGCAGCAAGATTTCTAACGCTGTAAATAATTACACCTCTTTGCTTGGTCTCACCGTTGAAACGGAAGCTCGTCAGAGCCAATGCAATTTTCTTAATGGAATCAGGAACGAAGCCCAGTGTTGATCCAGCAGAAGATGGATCATTGCAGCAGGCTTCCAGATAAACCACACTTGGCAATAACTTTACTATTGATTTTATGTCAAACCAGATCTTAGGTATTGAGGCAATATTACTCTTCTCCTAAAAAGAGATGTTAAAATTCTTCTGTATGCATGGCAGAACTATTAGGGTCTGATATAATTTGGAGAAATTTGCATGGATAGAAAGTTTAGTGCTGCAAGATATCTAATGCTTAATGCAAGAAAATTCAAGATTCACCCTGAAAAATTTAACTTCAAATCTTCTTTTGTAGGGTTTACTTTGGGTTTTCATTAGCCTCTCAATCCTCTGCTGAACAGATGTTTTCCACCCTCTTCCTACCAATCCTTTCTATGATGTGATTTTTTTTATATCCAACAAAGGTAACTGATGATTAATTTTAGGAAATATTTTATGTAAAGAATAACCATTTCTTCATTAGGACTGAAAAATGCAACAAAGCAGAACATGGAAGCTGAAATATTTTCTAAATTAGGGGGTCCCACTGCATGGGTTTTTGCACAAAGCTGTGTATGCTAGATGTTTCTAGACTCAATCAGTGAACATAAAGATTAGAAGTTGTACTTTACTTTTATACACACAGGAAGCTGTTTTCTGCATGTCCTCACATACATCCGATGCTAACCACTGGACTCAAAAGGAAATAGAGAGTGCAAAAAACATGCCTACCACTCCAGCCTTCACCAAACTCTTAGAGGGTTATTCTTTGACACAGTATATTTTTGGGTACAAGCTCAAGAGAGGCACAGGAGGCACTAATTGAATCATACTCTCAGCTTGGTGTTCAAAATTCATAGTTATGTATAGCAGCTGGACAGCCTCACCCTTTTTAGATACATTTTTTTATCAAAAGGGTTCTGCTCATTGTTGTCAGCATGCATTTAGGCATTATCTGAGAAGACTTACCAGGCTACTCCCTTGTCATCCTTGCAGTAGGAGAAGTTAAATAACTTTTGTGGAAAAAAACAACCACATTAGTAGAAGTGTCAAAGATGGCAATTTTTTTCAAGTGTCTCAGAAGATGGTGGAGCATTTTATCCACCATCCCTTCAAGAAAAAGGGGGAAGACACAAAAAACTAAGCAATAAACAGTTTTGTGAGGTTGGCTAACTGAAAACCCACGTGTGCACATGGCCATGAACTGTTTGTTTTCTGATCTACTGAGACTACCGTGGTCATTCCAGAATGAAAACAGAACAAAATCAGCTAGGCTTATTAACTACAGAAAATGAAAATATTATCCCTGCCCCAAATTATGCTTTTTTATTTTAAATGAAGTGTGAGTACTTAGAGTTGAAAGAAGCTAGCTTCTTACTGAAACAGTTTTGGCTAAGAACACTGAAATAATTGTGGTCCGCAACAAACACAAGCATGTGAAAACGCTCAAAACCACACAGGACTCAAGAATTTTCAACTGTGGCTGATTCTGAGTCTGTGTGGTAAAGATGAAAAGGTAGGATAAGCAAAATAGTAAAAACATTTAAGAAAATAAAGTTTTAAAAAAAATTTTAAAAACATATATTAGATGTAACCTGAATAAGCACCATAACCATAACCCTGAGGAAGTGAAAATAGTTTTCTGAGTTAGGTGCCAGACAAAGAAGGCTTGGCCTTGCAAGCAAGGCTACAGGGTCTTGATGTTTGAGCTTTACTGATATAATGAGAAATTAAATGTTATATATTTTTTGTAAATGCATAGAATCTTAAACACCTCACTCCCTCAGCAGTTCTCCTTCTAACAGTAATAGCTCAGAACACCCATGATCTATAGGTATGGTATTTAAAAATATATAAACAACATGACTTTGTGACCTTGTCCTACTTGTTCAGAGAACATAGCACCAAAAGTCCATCTGCTTCTTCTTCTTTCATTAAGGCTTATGTGTGAAAAAGCTTCAATACTACCAATTTAATTATAAGTCCTACTAGTTGGTAAGGTGAACAGGAAACTTTCTCTTACATGTGACATATATCTAAGCTTTTAGAAACTGTGTAGCTGATGGATCCTGAAGGAGAAAACACCATCAGGAGAATATTTCTAGGTCCAGAAAAAGAATTCACTGAAGTAGTCTGGTGCAACTGGAGTTTATAATGAAGTTTAGCTTGGTCATGGAATTGAGAGGTGACAAAAGAGACTGAAGCAGGATTTCCTGGTGAGTCTTGATTATCTGAAAAAAGTGCCACCTAGACTTTTCTCTATGTCCAGGTTTCTATTCTGATCTGAAGGCAAACCCTTGGTAGTAATTTTCACTGGTTACACTAGGCACTACACATAGGCATCTACCTCAAGGTACTTCCTTGTCCCCCCTTGTTCTGCTCTAAATTGTGCAGCAGGGTTTGGTTAAGACAGAAAAGCTTGTACAACTCCTATTCCCTGTGGAAAGTCCCTGTAAGGTGGGAACCCTTCAGGGTAATCTCTCCTTAACACCTCATGTTGTTAAAATCTTAACCATGGAGAGAATGCCTATTTCAGGCTACCTGCCTAGCAAGAAGCAAGTCAATCACTGTGTTAGAAATAAATTCTGTTTGGCCTGCATGGTCAGCTTTTTTTTAATTGTACCAAGATTTCAAAGTTCCCCTGTAATGAGGGAGGAAAGGAAGGGTATTTGATAGTTCCTAACTTTGTTTTATGTCTTTTCTATCCTCCTTTCTATCTTGATTTCAAACAGGACTTGGTCTCCTCCCCTGTTTAAAATCTTAAGAATAAATTCTCTGAGCTTACCAGTGCTTTATTTCATTCAGTAAGAAAAAGTAATACCAGTGTCTGTGCCAACTTCCAGTAAAGCTAACTTCATTCTAATAAATCTAAATGCCATCACTTTTAGAGAGATGATAATCTTGACTTCACATAGAATTGTTTTGCAGTGCTCAAATAAGCTGCTAAACAACATCTATGATCTGTTCCAGAGATGCTGATTACCAGCAAAGCCTGGTCTGACCAGTAAGGGGTAGCAAAAGGGTACTTTCTGAGTTTACATTGTGGAATAGAGCTACACCTGCAGACGCCTGTCAAATATTCAAAAAGCAGCAAAGGCAGCTTTGAGTAGGTAAAAAAAGCATATTAGAAATTAATCCCAGAAAACACACAGATTTCCAGTGAAATTGGCAAGAAGATGGGAAAGAAATAGCCAGGAAGAACTAAGCAACAGCTGAAAATGAGAGAGAAAGAGGGAGAGAGAGATCTGGAAAAAAAAAGACTTTTTAGTTAAACTCTGCTATCTTTGGCTGACGGGGACTCTTCGCTACAGATCTCTATGGCAGCCTGGGGAGTGCCAAAGAATTCAAAGAAAACAAGAACTGGGATCTCTTGCTTAAGTTCTCACTGGGAGTCAGTCAGGTGATGGAAATAAAAAACTCTGTTATGTGTCTGACCCAGGTTCTTACAAGTTGGACTGCAGCAAAGGAAAAACAAGCACATGGAAAATGGAAAAATTAGATGACACGTGGACTTTTCTCTTTCTTTTCCTGTTGTGATTTATTCCCTTTACCCATTTCTCTTCCTTACTGCATTCTGCTACACACAGGAATAAAGAAGTAAAACATTGGCAGGATCAAAGGGAATACAGGACAAGATCTGTGGTTGTTACACTTTCTTTTGTTTTCCTGCACCTCTTCTTACCTCAGTTTTTTCCCTCCTTGAACTCTACAATTGGAGCAGAAGTGGATACTCCTGAACCTACTAGAAGGGAGGAAATTATTAAAGAGGTAAAATCAACCCCACCTCAAAATGAGAACTGGGACCCTTGTAGCTTTCATTGGTAGGACCCACTGGATCAACAGAGATATCAGTCATGTTGCCAAGGCATTTTTTGGACTGAATGCATTTTACAGCTGCAGTCCTAGAATCAGTGAAAAAATTAATCACTCTTCACCCTTCCAAATGTGACAGAAGCCGAGTAAGATCTAATCTAGTGTGTCCGTTGCAAAGGGGACACACAAAACCTGTGTCTATTACAGGCATCCTGTCAGGAGGCTGTGTGCTCTAGTCCTGAAAGTCATACCTTTATTTTCTGCTATGGTAGCAATAATGATCTCAAGAAGGCAAAAGACACTGATAAACAGCAGCCTAGAGGAACTCCCCTCTACCTTGCAGTTCAAAGGCTCAGCAGTTGAAAAATGATTGTCTTACCCAGCATTCTCCTCATGGCCAGCTCTCAGAGAAGTTACTGTGTTTTTGTTTGTCTCTGCATATTTGATTTCAACTGTGAATCTCTGGAGAAGAGGAACAGCATCCTGTGAACCTATGGACAGCTCCAGCAAGCAAGAATCCAAGCTCCCAGGCAGGATGGGGCTTTGCAGGCTGAACTCACACCTATCTGGGAGTCTACTGGTGTTCAGGAGGAAAACAGCCCCTGTGAAGAGAAAAAAAAAACAGAACAAAATAAGAGACACACAGCATGGATGGAAGAGACATAATAAGAGGAAAATGGAGAAAGAGTTTGAAGAAAGGAGTGATGAGAATAAAGGAAAAGCCATGCACATAAATAAAAAGAGAGAGAGAATAAATTAAAAATTAAGGATTTAAGTAAAGAAATTATAGAAGAAATGAGAAGAGAAGAAACCAAAAAAAGCTTGAAGATGTGTCCAACAGAACAAAAGCCAAAGACTTTGCCAGTCAAACAGCAGACAAGTAAAGCCAGCTCTGGCTTGTATAGGATTGAATTTCCAAAAAAAAAAGACTCTGTAAATAAAAGCAGCTTATCCCAAAATGGGGAGATAAGAAATAAGTGTATAAAGGGGCTGGCGCCTTAGAGGGTACATCCATACACAACAGAGGCAGCACACATACATTACATGGTCATTTCTCATTGACTTTTGGGCACTGACTGGGCCTGTGGGAGCCCTGCACCAGAAGCAGCACATGGTGGCACTTCTAGTGACATGGACCTGAGCCCTCAGCCCGCTGACTCCTGCTGCAGCCAGGATCCGTTCCAGGGGAACTGTAGCTCTGCCTACCTTCAACATCTCCATGGGAGGAACCGTTTTCCAGAAGCATCCGCTGCCTCTCCTGGGATGCCAGGACACCAATGGAAGATAACACCCAGTCTGGCTTTCCAAAACTGTCTGTGGACGTCACCCATGAACAGCTCGAGCCAATGACACAAGAGATTTCTGTTGTGAGAAACCAAAGGTTTCAGTGAGGCCTATCCCAGCTCAAGGGGCACATGAGTGACTGAATGTACAGTGTATGGGGGCTATATCTCCCACGAAATAGAAGAATTGAAGAGAAAAAGAAAATTTTGTCCTGAGCTATAGCAACAGAATCTCTCCCAGACCAGCTCAAGGAACACATAAGAATGAAAAACTAACCTGCAAATTCTTGGCAGAATGTAAGTCATATCAGTCAAAGGTCTAGACCACAAGTATTCGAAGTCCCAAATTAGAATAATACAATAATATCAACAAGGATATTGAAATTGTATGGATTTGGCATTTTGGCAGAAAGAAAGAACTGATACTCTAAGGGCAACCCTCTCCCTGCAATAGAAAGAGCCTGACAGGTTCTCAAGCAAAATAGATGAGCAATGTAAGCTTTACACATTTTTTTATTTTTGTCTTTTTAAGATAGTTTTACTTTCCTCTAGCAGGATAGATAAGAATACCTTCTTAACAAACTCCAGAGTTTGCTCGCAGTACTAAAAACTAGATCATCTTGGCCAGAATTTTTCATAATCAGCATATGATAAACCCTACAAGAAGTAATTCACTGTTCTCTCATCAATCTAATATAAACTCCCTGAAGGGATGTTAGCTGCACAAAGCTCTCCCACACAGAGTGGAGCTGAATAGAGCTGATATTAATTTGCATGATATTTTATTTTCAGTAGTAATAATAATATTACAATAATAACTGGAGTGTCCCCAGGCCAAGTAAGAAATACTGAGAGACTAAACATTCACATTGAGCAACCTGATGTTCAGCGGGCATTCAAACCTTGCAAACACGAATGACACTAAGATATGCCTTTTGTAGTCCTATTCCTGTGGAGAAGAACAGGCAGGTAGGAAGGACAGAATTAAGGTCAGGGATATAACAAGGAAGTGTATCTGCACAGGTATAGCAAAAATAAAAACATAAGAGCCTCCAGAAGATTGCCTATATTTCAACTAAACTTTCAGACAAAGGAGAAAAGGAAGCCTCTTTTGAATGTGACAACAAAAGCAGACTAGCTTTCTCCTAATTACTGAAGTTAATTCTAACTTCATTTTTATAAAACAACATCCAGTAAGCAGGAGAAAAATAAACACAGATGTTACAGAGTGGCACATAGCTTTGGGTTGGCATAGAATGTAGTCTCCCACCCAAACACTTTTCCCTTGCTTTGGATACTCCCCAACTCTTTCTGGCCTGCTCCTACTGGAGTTTGCTACCTCTCTCAAACTGACACCTGGGCCAACCATCCAAACACCTTCTTAGCCCAGTTCATGGAATGCATACAGCTTAGGAAAGGCCTGGGCGCTGTTCAGCCCATCATTTTTGCATGGAAGCCACAAGCTGATGAACTGGCAAACTGTGCATGTGCGTGTGTATGCAATGCTAGATACCAGCAGCACACAGGAATGAGGACTCCAGTCACTCTCCTGGCTCTGTTGGATCTAGGGAGAAATGTCTGTGCACAGCTTCAGCTGTGGTTTGATGATCCAATAAAAAAAATTTAGGGATCTCAATAGCTCAGAAACTCCATAGAAATGTGAGACAAAGCAGAGTCCTGACCCAAACCTGCTTGGCTTTTTCAAATGTATTGAGCTTTGACAGGTTAACCCAGTACCTACAGACTTATTGTTAGTAGAAATAATATTCTATCAGATAATTTTTTTTGTTGGTGGTAAAACCCAGAAAGCAATTTCTCTCACAAGATTGTAACAGTGAAAGAGACCAAAATGAAAGCTCAGGAAAGAAAAATTTCCTTTTTCAAGTAGTCAGTTACTTGAAACTATTGTTTATGACAAAATCATTCCATCAAACCTTAATAATACCTCCGACTGCGGTGGCAAGGACTGTACCAATGCAGACTTAATTCTTTGAGTGTGTCTTACATGACAAGGTGGTTCCCAGCCGAGATAGGTGAACACAACTTTTTCCTTGAAAAGCACCTAATTCCCAGCTCTCTGAGCTTTATAATGTCTGTCTGCCACAACCTGTCACTGAAGAAATCTGAATACCTGCAAGAGTCTGAAACTGATCTGGAAAGTTTTTGACATCCAGTAGAAAAAAGACTGTTTTCTCTGGGAAGAGGTTATATGCATTACATTGTGCTAATCAGCAGTAAGCTGGATTTTAGCACAAATCACAGAGTAAGAGAACTGGGTACACTCGTGGCTACAGTGAAAGAAACACTGAAAACTGAAACCTCTAACACCACTATGTACCACCTTACAGGTGTTTCATATCCAGCTTTGCTTATGAACTTGGAGAACCTCAAGTACAAGTCAGCAAAAAGGAAGAACATGAAAAAATAAAAGGAAAAAATAAAAGGTATCGAAGAGAAATAGATCTGTATTACTACAATCAGCAAAGGACATGTTTTAAGATATTACAAAAATGCTCCAAATAAGATTGGATTGAAAGAAGCACATGGACAGTGCAGGGTTTGTCAGAAAGGACTTCAAAGAATTAGATACCCTCTGGAAGAGGTTACTGTAAGGAACATTCCTCTGGCAAGGCTAGGTCACCTCTGGGAGCAATTTGTGACTTTCCTGACACCCAGAGGCCTTTCTTTATTGTTTAGCATCTTCATCAACAACCTGAACAAGGAGACAGAGTGCACCCTCAGCAAGCTCACAGAGGTTGCAAAAGAGAGGAGCAGCTGACACACCACAGGGTTGTGCTGCCACGCAGAGCAGCCTCAGCAGGCTGGGGATCTCAGTGGGCTGGCAGGAGCCCCTTGAAAGAAAAGCCCAGTGCTGCACCTCGGAGGATAACCCCGTGCAGCAGTACGTGCTGGGGGCTGAGTGGCTGGACAGCAGCCAAAGAGAAGGCTTGGAGAGCGCGGTGAACAGCAAGCTCTCTGCAAGCAGGGAATGCACCCGTGCAACAAAGGCAGCCAACAGCTTTCTGGGCAGCATCAGGAAGAGCACTGCCAGTAGATCAAGAGATGTGATCCTTCCTCTCTATTCAGCACTGGTGAGACCACAGCTGGAGTTCTGTGCTCAACTCTGGGCTCCTTAATGCAAGAGACATACTGACCCACAGGAACAAGTCCAGCACCGGTCCTGACTGAGGGACTGGAGCATCTTACATAAGAAGAGAGGCTGGCACAGCTGGGATTGTTAAGTCTGTAGAAAAGTATGGTCAAGGGTTTATCAATGTGTACAAACACTTTGATGACAGGGAATGAAGCGGAAGCTAAGCATTCTCAGTAGTCTCCACTGACAGGACAAGAGGCAGTGAACACATGCTAAAAAACTTCACAGCTCACTTGGTTTTCACAATGCCTTGAAAATAAAAGTCCATTTGGAAAAAAGCTTCATTCAGTATAAAAAAAAAAAAAAATTGTTCTGTAGTAGTGGGAAAGCAGCTCTACTAATTAGCTTTTATTTCAAGAACTCCCAATCTCAAATCTGATGGAGTTCAGTGTGCTGATCAAAATGGTTTTATTTTTCTTTCCTTTTTCTTTCTTTTCCCTTTTCCTGCTGTGTTGGGGATTTTTTTGGTTTATTGAGGGGGGAGGCAGTAAGTTTCTTCTGTGGAGGGTTGTTTCAGGTTCTTTGTGGTTCAGTTTGCTTGCTATGTTTTGGGTTTGGTGGGGGTTTTTATTCATTTAATACAGAAATAAGGAATCCCCTTCAGTTTACACTGGCCTTTCTGAGTCGCTGCTCTAGTTCCAGTCAGAAATACAGTGCCATAGCTTTCTGGTAAGAGGTGCTTGGGACTGCCAGCACCTATCTTAAACCTAGATTCTGAAGGAGAAATTAGGAGGATGTAAGGAAGAGGAAGTGTGGTACCTGGTGTAGAAGGCTGATGCAATGAAACCATCCTATTTTTTATCAGGGAGAGCTTCTGAGTTGGATTCGGTGAAGAAGAGTTTTCTTCATGTGATCCAGAGCAGAAAACAACAGCTACAACAAAATAAAAAGAGGAAGGGACGTGTTTGATGTTGCTTTACAAAACTCTGCTCCCATATTATAAAGCATGTGCATATATATAACAAAGCCCTGCTACATCACTCTCACCTTCACTGCAGTGCATTGGGGCAGTACCATCCTGATGTCTCCAGAATAATTCATACCAACAGCAGCTCTTTTATTTATTTAACCTGTGCATGTGAAAATACACAAGTTCTGAGCTAAGCATGCAGTAGTTTGTATCTAAGATTATCTCTGGTCTTTTCTAGAAGTCATAAACAAGTTGGTAAAAACAAACATATTTGTTGCCAAAAGGTGTTCACAGGCAGAAAGCAAAATTAATTGTTTTCAAACCTTGGCCATTTGGGTTATAAATTCAGCAATATAAAAATGTCAAATCATGTCAGAGGGGACAGGAATCTTATTCACAAGAATTGCAGTGGACACAGGAATGTACAGACTTGTCATTTATAACATTTAAGATATTTTCAGCAGAGATAATTTGAACAATAATACTATGAATACTTGCATCAATATCTATAAAAAGAAAAACCCCTCAAACTTGACCATATGTTCATATGTTCACTTACTATTGCATATAAGTTTTCAGCAATATCCGCTCCAATTTTGAATTGCTGTTACAATTTTAATTTTAGTATATATTACAATGCATCATACAGTGAGTAAAATGCTGTGAAATGTTTCATAGCATGAAAATGCTGAATCCTTCCATCTTTTACTATGTTACTAAAGACAGTAGTAATTCAAGGGGTTCCAAGGAAGAGCAATTTTAGAACAGAACAGCATTATGCTGCAGCAGACACATGCTCTACTGGTGACAGATTTGGAGTCTCCACAGATCAATTGTCAAACACTATATTTTTTTCCTGTTTCCAAATATTTAGGGACATTAAAATAGGAAAAGTTGGTTTTGCACTACATATATGACACAGGCACTGCTCTAATAAGCAAGGTATCTTCAATAACAGGATGAAATCCTCAAAAAGAATGGGAATTATGTGGCCAAAGTTTAGCCAGCCTTATGAGAAATCCATGCTAAAAACCAATCATATATTGCAAACAAATCTATTTCGTTATATAAAAAGAAATTCTGCCATGTAAAGGGCTTTGTCAACTGAAGTCTGCTCCTCCCAACTTCTGTTCTGTGTCTTTTGAGATATTGCTCAGTTTTCCATCTCCCAGTCTTCACTCAGCACTGCTATTGCTTCAGTATTTACTTCCTTCAGGGTTTTATGTGAAGTCTGTTCCACCTACTCGTCTCCTCGCACACTCCAAGCTGCTTGTATACTTTGGAAATAGCCTGAGTATCATGGGACCCACAAACATAGTACAGTCATAGCAGAAGTTCTGCTAGAGACATTTTTCCTGATACAACTAAAACTTACACAAAATATTTGATGCAGTCACACCCCCACTCCCCTCCCCTAGAAACACCTTTGGGATGTTCTTCTTGTTTTTCATTAACATGCACAAGATCCTGTGGCATATTACCAGCAAAAGAGCCCTAAGCTACTTGAAACATGAATTTACTCCCTCAGTGTGGAAAATACCTCCATTGCCATTGGTGATAGTTGAGACAAATAAGATACAAAACAATGGCAACACCCTAATCAATTTGGCAAAACACTGCAAGAGTTCATTCTAATGAGTGTAACAACCATATTTACCTGTCCTGGGAAGATGTCACTTACCTAACTGGACATCTGAAAGGAAGGAAGGGCAGTCATTACAGCCAAATTCACTGACAAAGTGTACTTGGACAGAGGACCCTAGACTCAGTGATAGACAATGCACCCACAGAAATAGGTCCCCATTAATTCATTTCATCAGAGCAAAGAATTTCTGGCTATGGCTGAGCAAAAGAACACTCACAGTAGCAGCTTAGCAGCCTCTAGTCCAGCTTTACTTTATCTCCCAATTATTTTTCTTTCTCATTTTTTCAACTTCTTTGATTGAATTAAAAAATCTAGCATGTATAGTCACTAAGATGCTTCTGATCATCCCGCATCATGTCCTTTCACACATATTTGCATGTAATTTTTGTATTACATAAATTTCAGCCTGAAAAAAATAATAATGACTATTACTTTTCACCTCGATGATTTCTCTACCTTGATCAGCAAAAGTCAATTGTTTAAGTGAGAAGAAATACAAGATGGAGAGGAAGGAGATTAATGACTTTAAGCTAAGTCTGTAATTAAGGAACATAAAGAGATCAGGAAGAAAGAGTGTAACATATTCAACTGCCACGGGAAAAGATGGGATCTTTTAACAGCACAGCACAAATCCATCTCTTTTTCAGTAAAATAAGAAACCTACAGCACTGAGAAGATAATTCCATTTCTTTCACTATCTTACTAAAAAAAAAGCAATGAGATACCTGCAGGGGTGATTTTTATCCTTGCATCCTGCTGTTACCTTGCAGAAGAACAGAAAATTACAGAAAATACTTACAGAACTCCTGATGGGAAATCAGTTCTAGATAAGCCAAGGCATCTTTCTGACAAAACAGGAATTTCCTTTAGAGCACTTTCTAGTTGTATTCTCCATCTAATGTCAAAATAGCTACTTAATGTTTCTCACTGTTTCTCTGAGATTAATATACAGAAAATTATCTCTGTCAGAATGTCACACTAAGCCTGAAGTAGACTATTTGTTTGCTACCTATTCAAGCATTTTTTATTGATCCTAAAACTTCCACTTTCAGCTCACTATAAATAGTCTCTCTTGTTCATGAGCATTTACAGCCTTAAATTATTGACCTTGCTCTTTGAAAATATCACTGGGATCTCCTACTGCTTGCTAATAATCTCTCTTATTCTTTGCTCATTAGTTGGTTCTACCCCAAGTCCCTTGCTTACTTCATCACTCTTGTTGTATTCTGTCTAGACAGATTGCAGGTAATGGTCAAAAGGGAGCAACACAACCAAATACAATTTTCCCAAGGCTTACAAGGTGCTACTCCAAAATTTTCTAGAGGCCTCTCCAGTTTTTCAGGGAAAAAGGCAGAAAGGCAGATATCAGTGCACACTAATGTCGTGCTATGCAGAATCGCCATTCTCTCTCTCCTGAGATCTCTCTGTTAATCCATGCACCATTCTCATATGACATTTTGGCCAAAATAAATTATTGTAGCTGATTGTCTACCATGACATCAAGTGTCCTGTGATGCATTTCCTTCTACGACATGTATTCCCAACCTCCACTGTAGTTCTCTTTGAGATATCTAATTCCATGGGTGAGTTCCATTGAACACTGACTTTTTTTTCCTGCCTTAATCTGTAAGTTATCAGCAGATCAGAAATACAGTTTTAATGTTGTCTTCTGACTTATTCTTAAACTCCTAAATAGAACATAACCCAGAACTTATATTTAGAGGAAACTTATAGGTAGAGTTAATTGACAATAATTCTGGTTGATACTTGTGTTTTAAACCAAAAACATGACACAGCCATTTGCACCAGACACTCACTTAAGTACATATGTGGAATTATTAATTTAAGAATGTGACTGAAGGTACAACGTCCTACAGGACTTTTGTCACACTGGTAAATGTGTTTGACAAACTGATGCTTCAACAAGATGGCTCTTCAAATAAGCCCTTTAGATTGACAAGTATTTATAAACCCTCTTCTAGCTTTTTGATCCTACCTATAATATTATGGTATTTTTACTCAGACTGATGTTAAGGCAGCAATCTTCATATTACCAAGCAGTCCTACTTTGCAGGAGTAGAGCAGATGCAATTAAGTATTGTCATCCAGCTTATTCCATTTATCCTTTTAAAGCACTAATGCAGCATTAGTTTTCTTCCAGTTCTGCAGGATTTCCTCAGTGTCCTGACACACTTGTAGTAAATATCAACACATGGAAGTGTTTCAAAGTTCCTTAACTAGTTCTTTCAAAATTCTTGAACACAAGCCATCTCAACCAGTTGTTTCACAAAGCAGGGATTTTAATAACAGTTTTTTTCACAATATTTTTTCATTGTTCAGAAAGCCAGTGCACAATTTCTATGTGACAGTGAAAAATCACTTGTTTTATTTTTTCCTAGAATACTAACGTTTACTGAATAATTTTTCTTTTTGTCTCTATTATTGACAAACCTACCACACACATTTATGACAGATTCACATAATTGATAAAATATTTTTGCTACTAATGTACTTGGAAAATTTCCTTAGACTTCCTGCTTTCTTCTTAATTTCTTTTGCTTTTTTTTTAATCTATAGCTAAACTTTCAACTTTTCAACTTCCTTTTAGTGCAAGCAATGTAGTATTTTCCTGATTTTTTATAACAGCAGAGCCTCCTCTGTCAGCTATAGGCTTGTAGCTTTCTAGCTGTTTAAACAAGCAACTAAATTATTATCTGAATCTTTCTGTCCATGAACTTTCTTTCAACTGAGCACTTTCCTTTGGCACTGTTTTGAATTCTGAGAGATTTAGCTCTTCTGGAACTATCAAGATATACCACTTTCAGATGTTATTTAGGCACAGAAGTCCCTTTATTTGAATACCTCATCTGAGGTACATGTCAGACCACTTAAGATTTTTATTCTCTTTCCAAGAAAGGTGTTCTCAAGCCACAACCACTTCCACTTGTTGAACATCTGAGTTTGGTTCTGAACTCAATTCTTACCTCAATTCTTTATCTGCTTAGAATGGATGGAAGGTATTATCCTAACAAGTGACAGGGGAATTCATTCTGATGGTGTCATCTATTCAATGTCTGCAAGTCTGCTCCCACGCTAGCAGAATGAAACCACCAATATGCCACTTTTGTTGACGGCTTCACATGCACATACACACACAAGGAAAAAAAATACTTTTTTCCCTCCCACATTATACACAACAGGCTAGTCATTATCTTATCCAGATCTTTAGTTGGGTTTAACAGTGTATAGCAATCATCAGCAATCCCATTGACATTTATTTTAGGTATTAATTGACCTTCAAGATAATTTTGTTCAATG